TGTATTCCTGAAGTTCTGTGTTTTTCTCTAGTATCATTTTCTCTTATTCTAAAAGCCTTTGCCTTACTTTTAGAGTAGGTCTGCAGGTGCCAAATTCCCTTAGTTTTCTTTCATCTGGGAATGTCTTTTTGTTTTTGTTTTTTGTTTTTTTCCACTTCTTAAGGATACTTTTGCTGGCTATAGAAGTCTGGGTTGATGATCCCATCCTTCTCAGCACTTTAAAGATGTTTTCCCACTTTCTTTAGTCTTTTGTAGTTTCTAATGAGAAATCTGTTGTACATAGATATACATAATGTGTCATTTTTTTTCTCTAGCTATGTCATTTTTCTCTAATTTAAAAATGTTTTTCAATATTCTTTTCTCTTTATTTTTCATATTGGATCATTTATATTGCTATATCGTCAAGTTTTTTATTTTCTTTTGTCCCCTCCTTTTTGCCGTGGAGCCCACCAATGGTTTTTAAATTTTATATGTAATATTTTTTAGTTCTAACATTTCCATTTGGTTCTGTTTTTATAGTTTCTATTTTCTGCTGGTAATCCTACCTTTTAATTCACTTCAAATGTGTTTAGTGTTATCTTATGAAACACCATTATAATAGCAATTTAAAATCTCTGTGTGATAAATTACCTTGGGATTAGTATCTGTTGATTTTCTTTACCCCTTGAAAATTGGTTACATTTTCCTGCTTCCTTGATATAAAAGTAATCTTAGATTGTATATGGAGCATTTTAAATATTATGATGTATAGACTCTCGGTCCTGCTAAAATCTTCTGAAGAATTTTATGTTTTGTTTTGTTTGTTTTAGTAGGGAATCTACCTACCTAGGTTCAGACTGAAAGTTCTCCATCTGTGGGAAGTGGTTCCAAACTTAGTTCAATTTTCCAAGCCTTTCTTTGCTTGCTGATTTGTGTATGTCCTGTGTCTGTTCCACTTAGGGGTTTGTCTGAAACATGTGCAATGATTTAAATCTTACTTCAGTTTTCAAAGCTTTGGCATGCTATTTGTGTTTCTCATGCATGCATAGCTCAAGGGAGAGCCCAAAACTTATACAAGTGTGGATTAACACACAGAGGAATCCTCTTTTTCAGATTTCCTCTCTCAATCCTTCCTCTATGAGGTCTCTTTTCCTGGCTCCTTCTTCCAGAAAGATCAGGTTTCTCTTGGAGTTTTTACTGCTATCATGGCTGCTGCACAGCTTCATGACTGGAATCTGCTCTCAGGCCAAAGCCATGAGAGAAAAGAGGAAAACATGAGGATTACCCCTTCATATTTTCCAGTCCACAGGGGCTCCCTTTCCTGCTTCCCCTGGTTAAAAAGATGGTATTTCTATTAGAGTTATAGTTGATCATGCTGATGGCTCACAGCCTTACCATGAGGACCTGCCATGTGAGCACGGGGAAAAGAGAAACATGGCTGCTTCTTCACTTGTGTCTTCCTGCCATGATATGCCAGCTTTTATTTACTTTTCATAGTCCTCTAATAGTTGTTTTAGATTTTATCCAGGGTTTTTAGTTGTTATCAGTGGGAGAGACAGGCTATAATAAATAGGCTTACTTAATCATGGATGCAACTGGAAGTTGACTTAGTTTTAACAGGATCACCTTGGCTGCTTTTTGAGACATGCTGAGGAAAGGTGAGAGGGAAAGCAGAGGGTCCAGATAGGAGGCTACTGCAGTAGTGCAGGCAAGAGTGGACCTCAGTGGTAGTCATGGGGGTAGTGAGAAGCAGTTGAATTCTGGATATTATCGGAAGATTAAGTGGATAGGATTTGCCGATGGATTCATGGGGATGTAAGATAGAAAAAGGGTTTAAAGATGTCTGTAAAGTGTTTTTTTCCCTTAAGCAACTGAATGGAGATGCTGTTAGTATGGAAGGAGCAGTATGGAGGGGGAAGAAGGAAGGTGAAGAGCTTATTTTTGGATGTTTTTAGTGTGAGATGCCCATTAGATATACAAATGGAGATGTCAATAAGCGATCTGTTATATACCAACCTGTATTTAATGGAAGGTGTGGGCTGGGGATACAAACTTAGGAGTCATTGACACACGGATGACGTTTAAAACCATAATACTGACTGGGTGAGATAACCTATGGGGTAGAATACAAAGAGAAGAGAAGAAACTAGTGATGGGAGCCTGAGGAGTCCCAGTATTGGCTTGCTGTCTGGTCCTAGAGATTGGAAGCCATGCTGTCCAAGGGGCATGTGTCAGTCAGGGTCCAATTGGGGGATAATACTGCACAGCATCTTGAACAGGGGAAGTTTCATATAGATAATATTAGGGCTGGAATCATGAAAGAATGGCTAGTAAGAAGTCCAGAGAACTCTAGAGAGTATAGAATGACAGATGTAAGGGACAGTCACTACTGCTAGGCCCCCAAAGAAAAGCCATCATTGAGCAGCTCCTGGTCTCATTGGAGAGGGCACAGTTGCTGCTCATTGGATTCCAGGGAAGTCACTGTGATGCCATGTTATTGGAACTTGCTGGAAATCTCCCATCCAGAACTTAGGAAAAATCTACCTTTTAGGATGTTGGGGAGAGCTTTTTAGGAAGAGGTATTCTGCTGGAGGCACTGGCTATGAAATTGCCCATGAGGGGTGCTGGGGAAGCTCCTGGCTGCTGCTGTGGATTGTGGGAGCCTGACATTATAGCAGTTGTCTGGATATAGGAATCTGGCAATAGAGAAACTTGAGGGAGCTCAGTGGAAGGAAATCCTACTCCTATACTATCTCTCTAGTGTCTCTGGAAATGCCTACCGGCAAGGCATAATTAATATGATGCCAGCTAGCAAAAGAATATATTTAGAGAGATCAGATTCCTTTTCATGGAGGAGGCAATAAGGGTGAATTTGGAGCTCAGGCAATAAATGGATAACTGCCACAGGGTAGACGAAGTGTGGCTGAGGAGAGGCACAGAGTCTGGGCAGGGGCCCTTTGCCATTGCTGCCACCCAAGGGGTGTGTGTGACTTCACATGATAGCAGGTGAAGTGGGTGGTGTGGAGCTCCTGTAAGCAGGAGGGCAGGTGGCTGGTGAGTCCAGGGTCAGGCAGGCCTTCGGCTGTGAGCAGAGCAACATGCAAGTTCTTGGGTTGCTGAGGTGTGGGCAAGGCAGCATCTATAAAGATGAATGGTATGCTTCCTGCTCTCTGAGAAGGAGGACTCTCGAGGTGAGAACGCACCTGGGCCGGTTCCCGCCCCCACCTGTGCTGTCCCTTGCAGGCTATGCTATCTTCAGCCCCAGCGACATCCGACTCTGACCTCCTGGTTTTTGCACACCCTGTTTCCTCTGATTGGAGCACTTCTTCCTTATCAGTATGGCTAATTCATCATCCTTCACATCTCTGCTGTGACCTGACATCCTTCAGGAAGCTTTTAATAATGCTCCAGGTCTAAGCTGGGCCTCTCCTCTGTGTGTTGCAGCATGGATTCCACTCTTAACACAGCACTTAGCATATCAAGTCATAAGTGCTTGTTCACCTGTCCATCTGTCAGCCTGGACGATAAGCTCTTTGAGGGCAAGGACCAAATCTTATGCACTGCTGTTTTCCTGGCACCATGCCTGAGAAGTAGTAAGCATTTACCAAATTTATCAAATGTCTAGTGGATGAGTGAATAAAGGATGAGAGCCAGCGTGGGGTGCACAGAACAGATGGCACAGAACACTCAGGGCTTGTATGCCATGTTAAGAAGTTTGGGCTCTTACTGGAAGGCAATGGGGAGCCACTGAGGGCTACAAGTAAGGGAGAACCATGATCAGTTTTCTATGTGATTAAGGCCTTCCTGACAGCATCATGGTGAGTAAGCTGGATGGAGACAAGAGTGAGGACAGAAAGATGAGGTCCAGCAATGATCCAGGGCTGCTGAGGCCGGGGAATAGGTGGAAGGGTTCATGTTGGGCATGAGTTACAGGGCACTTCTCTCCAGGAGAGAAGTGAGCTGCCGGGCACTTGTTCTCAGGGCCTTTGCTGCATTTTTCCTCTCCCCCAGTGAACTGTGAGGCCCTCCAGGGAGGGTTCCCAGTCCTCTTTCCTCTGTGCCTCCTCTGTGCCCATGAAGCAGCCTCTGCCCTTGGCAAGTCCCCAGGGGGCTGGCCTAGTGGAGTCTAGGAGGCAATCTCCCTCATCAGCAGTGTGATCCAGAAGGAGAGGCCAGAGTCCTAGTGATGTTAGCTTGGCAAGTTTATTGAAAACCCAGCAACGCAAAGAACAGTATAAACAGGCACCCTGTCCCACCCCCGGCCCCCCTGGAGCTTGCAGACATAAACCTGCTACAGCAGACGGGGCTGGGGCTCCTTCACACCACCCACAGGGACGGGGCGCATGCAGCTTAGCAGAGCCCACCTCTCCATCTGCAGCCCAGCCACCTTGTGCCCTCACATGCTGGAATTAAACCGACGACCCTGGGAGAGAAGCAACTAGGACATCTGCCACTTGGAGAAGAACCATCTCAGGGGACTTAGGGATCCTTAGGTCATGAAGGACTGTGCATCCTTCTGGGTGAGGAAGAGAAGGAAAGAACCTTCTCCTGCCAGGGAAAGGAAGAAGAAGGGATAAAGGACAGTGGGCTAAAGACACCTGCCATGTGGACAGCCAACTCTCCATTCTCCAAATTAGTCCAAGGCATGGATGGCATTGCTGCCCAAGCATATTTTGTTTTGGCTTTGGATCATTCCTTTCCTCCCCTGCACGCTGATTTGTGTGACTGTATTGAGTGCGAATTTCTTTAGGCTGTTCAACTGAAGGGTGAAGAGTGATCCAAAGGACAGAAATGGGGAGTCAGGGAGAAGCCAGTGTACTGGGGCTGCGGACAGAGTGTCTAGGTGGTGAGAAAATTGCCCCAATCGCTGGTTGGATCAACCCCTGAGGAGGGCACTGTTGCCTTCCTGGCAGGAGGGGTAGCTGGAGTCTCTTCTGGCCCAGAGTCCAGACGCCTCTGGACAGAAGCAGGTGACATTGAGATGGCTCTTCCCTGGGTAGTGGCTGGCTGGCGCTGGCCTCTCAGTACTTGGTCCGGCGGGAGGTGGTGGTAGACACGAAGCGGACGCTGGAGCTGCGGCTGCCGCGACCCCCACTGCAGCTGCTGAAGCCCCCCTCGGTGGGCAGGGGACAGGGGACACTGGGGACACAGGCTTCGCCTGTGAGCACGGAGCCACCCTGGGAGCTTGCGCTCAGCAGGTCCCCACAGGCCGTCACGACCCGGGTCCCACTCAGGCTGGAGCCACAGGCACCGCTGGACCTGATGCTGCTGCTGCCCGAGAAGGTGACCCCGCCACGGGAGAGTGTGGAGGTGGCCATCAGGGGTTCAGGCCCGCACACCACGGCACCCCGGGAGCTGCTCACGGCTGCAGGAGAGAGGAAATCGTCAGCGAGGTGGGCTGCCACTCCTGGGGCCCAATTCTCCAATGAACTCCCTACTGAGGGGGGCAGAGGCGGGGACAGGACTGGTGGCATCAGGGGAAGTGCTTGGGCAAGTGGTTCCTATTGTTCACACAGATGACACCCATTTTTCCTTCCTCTTGTCTGAGTGGCTCAACGGCTGTGACTTGCCACTGAAGTTAAACATTCAGATTAAAATGGAAGAATTCAGCCAATTCCTCAGGTTGCATATAGCCATAAGCTGGCTGTCATTTATATATGGCTGAAGTCAGGTTGGGCATGAACTGGATTATCCAGATACTGGAGCAGTAGCTCCTATAAAACTTGGGACTTTTCTCTCTTGATTACATCATGTCCTTTGGTGGTCCCTACATTGTCCCTCCAATAAGAGTCTCTTGTCATTTCCCCTCCAACCCAGTGATGGCTCTGCTCTGTAGCCTTCTGATATCCCCTGGGCCTGCCTCCATATCCCAGGACTCCAGTCCAACTAAATCTTGCTTAGATCAGCCCCATCTGTGGAGGGGGCTCCCTGCTCCTTTCCTCTCCTTTTTTTTTACAAAAAAATGTTTATTTTTTGAGAGAAAGAGAGAGAGAACAGAGATGGAGAGATGGAAGAGCAGAGAGAGAGAGGAAGAGAGAGAATCCCAAGCAGTCTCTGTTCTATCCACCCAGAGCCTGACATGGGGCTCAATCCCATGAACCATGAGATTATGACCTGAGCCGAAATCAAGAGTCAGATGCTTAGCCAAGTGAGCCACCCAGGTGCCCCTCCTTTCCTCTTCTTTTACCAGAATCCTTCCTACCATCTGTGACCTCCACTCAAGTGTGACCTCTTGCAGAAGGCCACTCCTTGCTGCCTCCCCTCTCTGAGGGCTGGGCCATCCGAGGACAAGTAGCTCTGACTGCCTGACTCACCCACTATAGCACTCAGCTCCACGATGCATCTGTGTAGATTTATACTTTTGGACCAGAAATCTAGGGTTGAATTCTGGATGTGCCACTGACTAGCCTTTGTGACTTTTGGAAAATAACATTTTTTCTCTAGGTGAATAAAAAGTGGGTGTTAATGCCTATTCCTCTCCTTAGGGCTTTGTGGGTTAGGTTGACAATGGATAGGGCTCATCTTCTAAAGAAGATTATAATTCTAGAAAGCAAGGGCTGGTCTTGCCTTCTCTGTGCTCCCCCCGCCCCCTGCCTCCACAGTGTCCAGCATAATTCCCTGCACACTTTGGCCACCAATGATATTTTGTCTGGCAGCCGCAGCAGGGAAACATCCGCTCATCTTCGTCTCATCCCAGCCATGGGGACACAGGCCACTCATTGGCACAGGTCCTTTCATTCCATCCCTGGCCTTTGTCCCGGAAGGACAAGACCACTTAGAAGAAAAAAAGCTGACTCTCTTCCAGAACCCTCTCCCATCTATTAGGCCCTGCAAACCTTTGTGATTGCTTAGCCCTGGGGAAGGAAAGCTCTGGGGAGGTCTCGGACCTCAGCTAAGGCGGTGCACCCAGGCCAGGAGCTTGCCTGGTCCTTGCTCCCCTGACTGTCGTGGCCAACCCAGCCCTGGGCTCCCGATCCCAATGTGGGCCTGGGCTTAAAGGAAATTTGCAGAGCCCCAGGAGGGAAATATGAAGAAGAAAAAACTTAAGATCCTTACATATGTTTACTGGTCCAACACCTTCGCAGATCCTGGGGACAGAAAGCAATAAGTCAGCTCACAAGCAGTGCTGTTCCCTGAAAACTTGTTATCAGAAGGGTTTTCTTGGCAGAATGGACCAATGGTTCTTACCCCTAGCTATATAAGCATCCTGGGAGCTTTGGAAAAAATACACGTTCCTAGACTCTGCCCCAAAACCACTGAATCAAAATATTTGAGGAAATGTGTTATTATATTTTTTTAAACAGATAATCAATTAGGCAAAACTCCCTATGATTCTGGTGCAGCTTGTGCACAAACTTCCATGTAGGGGGTAAAAATCTAGAATCTTCTTCTAACTCCTTGGAAAGGGCAACCAGACCGGACTAATGTTTGCAGAGAAGATCTTGTTACCTCTAGAGAATGCTCAAGTTAGCAATTCTTCACCTGGTTCCCTCCCCCACTGAGTCTAGATGTCTAAGTCTGACCTCAGACCCTCCTGCAGCACTGAGAGCTCTCACCGGATCTCCTCGCCCTCCAGCAGGCGCCTGTAGGTGGCGATCTCGATGTCCAGGCCCAGCTTGACATTCATCAGTTCTTGGTACTCTCGCAGTTGCCGGGCCATGTCCTGCTTGGCCTGCTGCAGGGCACCCTCCAGATCAGCCAGCTTGCACTTGGCATCATTGAGGGCCGCCTCGCCCTGCTGCTCAGCCTCGGCCACCGCGGCTTCCAGCTTGGCTCGCTGCAGGAAGGGCAGTGTACAGGTGGGCTCTGGTGGGGACCAGGGGATCCCCAGGTGAGGTTAGAAACACTGCCCCTCCCTGTCCTCCCCTCTCCTTTGCCCACCTGAGCCTTGGCATGCTCGATCTCTGCCTTCAGTCTCTGGATCAGGCGGGTCAGCTCATTGATCTCATTCCGTGTGTTGCGCAGGTTGTCACAGTGCTGGCCAGCTGTCACCCGCATCTCCTCATACTGGGGGCAAGCAAGGGAGGTTATGAGGGTCCAAAGTTTAAGTCAAGACCACAACCCCAATTGAGTTGGGGGCCTTAGACCTCCACTGGGTCCACTCCATTGTACATGAGTCTTACTCTGGGGCTGCCCACACCTCTTCCTCAGCCCCCCGCTCTGCCACCCACCTTGCTCTGGTACCAGGCCTCAGCATCAGCCCGACTGCGCCTGGCGACCTCTTCATATTGGGCCTTGATTTCATCGATGATTCCATCAAAGTTCAGGTCCCGGCTGTTGTCCATCTTCACGATGACCGATGTCTCTGAGATGTGTGACTGCAGCAACTGGATTTCCTGTGTTGGAAGATAAGCAAGACAGATGGGCTCAGAGTCCCATCAGTGACTGGGACTCTGCCCCAGGGGCCCCAGGAGTGGCTTCAGGAGCAGAGAGCATTGCTCCTTTGTTCAGAGCGAAGCAATGGAGTGGACCATCCAAACTGAGGGCAAAGAAAAACACATGAACTGAGAACCATCTCAGTTTGAATTTAAACCCTCATTATATACTTGAAGACTCCCTTTAACACTTTATTTGCTAAGGTAAATATAGGCACCTAGGAGCTTGGTGGAGGGGAGTGAGAGCCATGGTAGGGCTGAAACTTTTCCCTGGCTTATCCACAAAATGGCTGTGCTGGTCATGGATCATCGAAAGTTTGATAATATTCTAGAACATGGTGGTCTAGGAATTCCTATATCCCAAGTCCTTAATAGAACCAAGGGCTTGGACCCTAAAGGCTCCAGAGGGAGCTTTCTTCAGCCTTTCCACTCAGAGCCAGACATTAGCACTGGCTGGCTCTGTACTCGACCAAACAGACCACTTACAAAGCAAAAGATAACTAATTCATCTAGCTAATTAGGTCAAACACATTTTTTCTTAAATCTCCTAGAGAATCTGTTTTCCAGAGTCTTTCGATCAGTGGAGAGGAAGTGAAACTCCTAGACCCCAGTCTTTGGATTGGTCGATAAGGAGTTGGATCATAGATCCAAGGAGTTCATTCATGGAGCTGAGTCAGGCTGCCAAGAAGCCTGCCTGCTTATCTTCCTTTCTCCACTTGTAGACACATCAACATTCAGAGGATATAGATTCGAATGGGAAGAAGATGTACAATACCAAATGTTAGAAAGTATGCCAGTTCAGGTGAAGCCCCTCTCTGAGAGTGCAGGCCACACACTGATCTCCTTGTTTAGCTCAGAAAGGGAAGAATGCTTACCGCCATGTATAAGGCTTTGAGAAAGTCAATTTCCTGAGTCAGAGTATCTGCGTTGGCCTCTAGATCAGACTTATTTAAGAAAGCTGTATCCACATCCTACATAAAAGAGAGAAGGATAAAATGGTCATTATTTGTACACTGTTTAAGCTTGGCAAGGTCTGGAGATGGGTGGGATGATTAGGCTAGTCCCCACAAGGCCAGGCCAGGCTTTGGGGTGGGTGGTGGAGTTCTTGGAATGGTGACAATTGTTCTTCTCCGTACTACAATATGAAAACTCCCCTGGGGGCTGCTAGACATTTTCTGATGCTTCTTTGGAGGCAAGGACAATCTGAATAATCTAAGACTCTTAAAAGTTCATCTCTTCAGACCTCTGCTCTCATGAAGATCCAATCCTAAATAATTTGAGGCCAAATCCTTCCAACTCTGAAGGAAACCTGTTATGACCTTACAAGTTCCACTCTGCAAGTGGTCCCAGACTCTACAGGGCTGCCTGGGAAGTTTCCAGGGCAGAAGATGCCTTGGGAACATTTTTCTGTCTGGAGGAGAAGTTTGCTTGGACCTGTGGCTTTCCCTTACCTTCTTCAGAGCCACAAACTCATTCTCAGCATTGGCCCGGAATCCTACCTCCTCTTCGTACCTGGATGATAAGGATGGAGAGTGTGAGTTCTCATTCTGAACTGAGAGTCAATTACTCTCCCCTCTCCTGTGAGCCTCTTAAGACACCTCTGCTGCATCTAGGAGCATGGGTCCCCGTTGTCACCTACATGTGCACATCTCATCTTTGTCTCATCTTTAAGACCTTTTATGAGCCTGTGACCCTCAGTTTTTCCAAATTCCTTTTACTTTCTCAAATTAGATTTGGGGTCTGAAAATGTAGACCATTGCCATGTTCCTCTGCTAGGAAAGACTTGGGAGTCATTGCACTTGAACATAGAGGAAGTAGGACCCAGCTCATTGCTGCACCTGAGTGCAATCTTTCTGGAATCAATGGACCCGTTCCCCCAGACAAGACTAGGGACAAACCATGCCCAATTCCAAGACTTGTTTTTACTCAGGACCCACAGAGGGCTTCCTCCTCCTCTTACATATCATTGCCCCCACTCCTATCTCTAGGCTGAGTATTGAAACCAGAATTCAACCCTGATCCATCCAGCTGCTATTATTTGAGCTTGGCAGCTGCTTTGGGGACCAAACCCTGCCTGTCCTTGGTCTATGCAGTCCAGATGCCACTTACTTCTTCTTGAAACCCTCAAGGACATCCTGCATGTGGTTCCTCTCAGCCTCGAACCGGGCCCGGTCACTGTTCACTACATCCAGCTGCCTCCGCAGGTTGGTGATATAGTTCTCGAAGAGGGGCTCCAGGTTGCTTCTGGCACATTTCTGCTCTTGGAGGAAGTTCCACTTGGTCTCTAGGAGCTTATTCTGCTGTTCCAGGAACCGCACCTAAATCCACAGAGTCAAAGAAATGGCACCTAAAGATCTTGATAGAGTCACGTACATGTCAACCAGCAATTCAGGTGGCCAAAGATGGTTCTCAGCCCCATGTTGACATTGTCCTCTTGTCTGTTGGCTGTCATTCCTCCTCTGACTCAGTAAAAGCTGGAAGAGTAGGTCTGTGACCCTCTCCTCATGCTCAGCCAGGTTCAGCTAAGCAGAAGCTTTCAAACCAAAGCGCTTTAGTCATTTTGCTTCTACCCTCCAAGAAAGGTGTAAGCCAGTCCACCATGAAGTTGGAAAATTTGATTCTATCTGAGCTAGGATTTACCTGTATCTAAAACTGATATTGGCCATCCCTCACAGGGAATGAGGAGCAGAGTAAAGTATATTGGGGTGGGATAAAGCATTAAGAGGTGGGATTTCTCAGGTCATAAGTCATACCCACCATTCCAGATACTCCATCAGCTGAGAATTGAAAAGCTGGAGGAGAACTTGGAGATCATTTGCTCCAACATCTCGTTTCAGAGATGAGGAACCTGAAGCTCACAGAGGTGAGTTTCCATTCTCAGACACAGAGCATTCCTGCTCCATGGAGACATGGTTTGTGGGATGTCAGTTCCACATCACTGTTTCTCTCATGAGTCTGACCATCGTGACTTCCTGTGGTAGTTCTCTACTATGTCCCTCAATCTAGGCAACTCAGCTTAACCTGAGTACCCCACATGGGGAGTATACATTCCTTGTTTTGTGCAAAAATTACTCCATATTCCACTTTCCTGAGCCTGAACAGATGTGGTCATGCAGTCTCAGAAGCTATGACAATCTCAAAAAGAGCACGAAGATCTCAAAGGACAAAACCCTTTAAACATGTAACCAACATCTGGCCAAAGTCCTAATGTTTCTACCTTGCTTGTGAGATATTTCTAAGTGACTAGGTAGTGGGTCTTAGTTTGTCCAGATGCCCTCAGATTTGGCTGGATGCTCCTCTCTTCTCCAGAAGACACAACCTCTGTCTTAGTCTATCCCACCTTGAAGCATCTCCTCAGGTTTGTCCTTGTTTTGCAGCAGAGTGACCCAGAAATCATACTGTGGTGCCTGAAGGTTCTGGGTCAAGGTTGATGCCCCAGGCCTGGGCTGTTTCTTCTCAAGGGAGAGGACACCCCAATACATTTTAGCTCTCATCATCCCAGACCCAGAGATTGAGCTGTTATAGGTACCTTGTCAATGAAGGAGGCAAATTTGTTGTTGAGGGTCTTGATTTGCTCCTTCTCATCCTTCTTCACCCTCTGGGCATTGGGATCAATCTCCAGGTTGAGGGGGGTTAGCAGGCTCTGGTTAACAGTCACTGCCTTGATAGATGGGGCTCCTGGGACTCCAACTCCTCCAACTCTGTAGCCAAAGCCAGGGCCACCAAAGCCATAGCCAAGGCCACCACTGGCTCCGAATCCCAGACCAAAACAACTGCTGGCCCCAAAGCCCAGACCAGCACCACTCCCATTACCAAAGCCGAAGGGCATCCCACTGCCAGCACCAAAGCCACCTCCACAGCGGATGGGACGAGTGCCTACAGCTGCCATCCGGGGTGAGCATGATCCAAAAGCGACGACACTCCGACTACCAAAGGTGCCAAGGCCCCGGGAGCCAGGCCCACTCCTGCAGGAGACAGAGCTGGCCCGGAAGCGGTTCAGGTTCTGGGGGGTCACCGCTGAGCAAGAGCTGAAGTTGCCCATGCGGCAACCAGACCTGACTCTGTAGGAGTGGCAAGACATGACGACTTCCTGGGTGAGGACAGAGCAGGGATTGCAGGGTAGGATGAGCTCGAGCTGGGAGTCTCTCTGAAGCTAGTGGATCCCTCGTCCCCCTTTTATGTGTCTGGGGATCTGAGGATTGGCCCCATAAAAATAGAAAAAAATCCATTTGGACACATTTATGAGCTTGGGTAGCTAGTAGAAACTCTTCATGCCTGTAACTGTTAATAATGAGCTAATCTCAGACACACCTATTCTCCTCAGGATCAGGGCTATAACATCAAACCTATAAACATTAAAAACACATAAGTACATAAACATTATGGTCTTATTTTTTCCCACAAGTCCACTACAATTGCCCTTATGGGGACATTAATTTCCTTTGGTCATAAATCCAATAGACTTTTTCACTGTAAGTGTGGCTAACCACCAGAAAGTTAGGATGGTAACAACTCCAGCAAGAAGGTCAAAAGGATGCATTCATACAGATATAAACTCCTGAATAGATGGGGGTGTGCAGAAAAGACAGGGTCTGCACAGCTCCGAGTAACAAATTGTATGGCAAGAATATAGTTTATTGCATCTCTGTAGATGGATTAAGTAGACCAAAAACGTTTTGTACTATTTTATCTGTCCTCCATGCTCCAGTGTGGCTGCCTATGTAAGAGTTGAATCTTCAGTAAAGCTCATTTGGGTTAGTACAGATGCATGTCTGATTTGAGAGACTCAGAAGAAATTGATTCACTAGTTCATTAGTTCATTCAACAATTATAAGTTGCCTAGTCTGTCCCAGGCAATGTACTTGGTCCTGGGGGCACACAGATAAAAAGACAGTCTCAGGGCGCCTGGGTGGCTCCGTTGGTTAAGCTTCCGACTTCAGCTCAGGTCATGATCTCGCAGACTGTGAGTTCAAGCCCCACATTGGGCTCTGTACTGTCAGCTCAGAGCCTGGAGCCTGCTTCAGATTCTGTGTCTCCCTCTCTCTCTGCCCCTTCCCCACATTTGCTTTGTCTCTCTCTGTCTCGAAAATGAATAAACGTTAAAAAAAAAAAAAAGACAGTCTCTATGGTGGGGGAAGATTTATCTTAATACTTCCACTCATCAGTATTTCCATGGCATAATTTGAGGCCAAAGCATGCCAATGGTTTGGCCATGTGCCTGTGTGGAAAGTTAACCATATGGTTTTGAACTCCCAAAATACACATTAGGGCTGATCTATAGTCTTGTGTGCAGGTTTCTTACATTATTGATAAATCTTTGGTTAGGATAGGGATCCAAAGCTATAAGCATCTGGCCTATGGCCATACCACCCTGAATGCACCTGATCTCATCAGATCTCGAAGCTAAGGAGGGTCAGGCCTGGTGAGTACTTGGATGAGAGACAAAGAATAAGCAACTGGATAGAAAAGGAAAGTTCTAAGCAGCTGGATATTATCGTTGTTATCAATATTGCAACTCTTTCAGGATCCAAATACAAGTGTTTGTCTTTTCTATTCTAGTGTGACACATGGCTCGTTCTACTTGCCCTGTGCCTGGTGGATGTTGTGCTTGACCAAATGCTTGGGATCCTTTAGGATGCTTGGAGTTCTACTTGGAAGGAGCTGTGTGCTTTTGACCTGAGCTATCCAGCTTGAGTCTCCATTATTTTCTTCCCTTCCAATCATACAGCATTTATTTCCTATTGTCTTACCGCATTATCTAGGACTTCCAGGATGATATTGAAAAGCAGGGGTAAAAGGGGGCATCTTTGCCTTATTTTAAATTTTAGTGGGAAAGCTTCAAGTTTCTCACCATGAAGTATGATGTTAGTTGTAGGTTTTTTGTAGATTTTTTCAAATCAAATTGAGGGGGTGCCTGGGTGGCTCAGTCATTTAAGTGTCCAACTTCAGCTCAGGTCATGATCTCACAGTTCTTGGGTTCGAGCCCTACGTCGGGCTCTGTGCTGACACCTAGCTCAGAGCCTGGAGCCTGCTTTAGATTCTGTATCTCCCTCTCTCTCTGACCCTCCCCTGCTCACGCTGCCTCTCTCTCTCTCTCTCAGAAGTAAAACATTAAAAAATAAATAAATAAAATAAAATTGAGGAAGTTTCCCTCTGTTCCTAGTTTACTACTCTGTTCCATAGACCCAGCTATCAGGTGTGTGACTAAAGAGAGAAGCAGGAAAGTAATAATAAGAGAATCCTTTTTGTGAAGATTACTGGTGATCTCCACGTTGTGAACTTCAGTGGCCTGACCTCACTCTCACTTGCCTTCTTAGCTGTATTTGCTGTAGTTGATCATTTCCATTCCTTGAAATGCTTTCTTCTTTTGGTTTCCGGACACCATGCTCTCCTGATTGTCTTCCTATATTACTGGCAGCTTCTTTTCAGATGTCCTAGCCAGTTTCTTCTATCCCCAACCTTTATACACTGCAGCATCCTTGGGCCCAGGCTTTGTACCTGTTCACATCTTTACATTACACCATTCCCTTGGTGATGCCATACAGTATCATGTCTTTAAACAATGTCTATCCACTGAGGACCATCAAGGCATATCACTCTGGTGAACATCCCTTCTGTTCTTCATATGTACATTTTAATCAACATCTTTATTTGCATATCATATAGGCATCTCAATCTTAAAGTATCCAACCCCATTTTCCCAATTGTTCCTGCTAAATATGTCCCACTTGCCAGGCTCACTATCCCTTTAGTAGCTCAGGCCAAAAATCTGAGAGTCATTCTTGGTTCCTCTGTTTTTTTCTATCCCACATTCAATCCATTGGCAAATCTTACCTGCAGGATTCTTACTCCCTCTCACCACCTCACTGCTGCCATGTTGCCCAAGCCCATCACTTCTCACGGGGCCCCTTGGTGTGTCCTCCCTTTTCCCCTTGAGTTTTTTCTTAATAGCACAGAGCGATCCTTTAAAAACATGTTAGATCATGTCATGTCTATGCTCTCCTGGTTTCCCATTGCACTGAGTAAATGGCATGCGGGACCCTCCACAGTCTGCTCTCCGCTTTCACTGACCTCACTTCCCACTACCCATCTGAATGCTCACCAGGCTCTAGCCACCCTGACCTCCTCGTTGTCCATCAGACAGACAGGAAAAGTGCTGCTTCAGACGCTTTCCCACTTGCTGTTTTCTCTGTTGGGAACTCCTTTTCCTCAAATAGCTTCATGGCCCAGTCCTTCTGCTCTTCCAAGTTCTTGCTCATAGGTCATCCCCTAAAGTTCCCTCCCCCACGCTCTCCCTATCCCTCCTCCCGTCGTCGCCATCAGGGGGCCTCTCCTGCATAGGTCTGCTTGCCGGTCTTCTGTCTTCCCTGGCTGGAATGTGAGTTCCAGGATGCAGGCACCTGTGCCTTTGGTTCCCTGTGTCCCCAGTGGTTAGTAGACTGGGGCATGTGATGGGAAGGACTGCTTTTGTAGAACACATGAATACACCTCAAAGATTCAAAGCAGGACACGTGGGAGAAAGGAGCTGGAAGTAGGAAGAAGAGGAATTCGAGCATTTGATTTTGGAGATATTTCACAAAGAGGAGACTCCAGGCTCCAAAATGGACAGGCATGGTGCTGAGGACGATGGCGGGGTAGAATCTCAAGTGTGTATTGGAGCGCCAACCCACTCTGCCCTCCAGCTCTGGCCTCTTGGGCTGTGAGTCTGGTTGTTCGGAGGGAAGGGCCAGGCAAAGGGATCTAGGTGGTTGGGAAGGAGACTGGCGGACTCCTGGGGAGGTGAAAGGGGGAGGAGAGGCACACTAGTGAGTGTGCCAGGCCAATGCCAGGGACTTGACACAGCCCTTGGAGTCAGCTGGACCTGGGTTCAGTCCTAGTTTTGCCACCTGCCAGCAGAGTGACCTTGGACGGTGGTGCACGGAGGGCAGGTGGGGTCAGGGCTCTGCTGTGGGCTCTTGTCTGTAGAGAACTTCAAAATGGTAATATGAGCAACTGAATGTCAGTCGGCTTGTTACTACCGCTGCTCACTGGCCGTTTCGAACAGTGTTAGGCAGCAAACACACCCCCTCTGTGGTATACTGGTGACCCAGGGGGAAGCCCTTTAATTTCTCTAAGCCTCAGTTTCCTCATCTGTAAAATGGACTGACACCTCCTTTTCCTTCACAGTGTTGTGGGGATAAATGTGAATATGTCTTGGGTAACGCTGTGGCAGCTGGTGTGGTCGCTGCCATCCATCTCTCCCCCTCTCTTTCCTCCCTCCTTCCCTCCCCCTCTCTCTCTGCTCCTCTCGTCTCTTTTGCACAAGCCTCCCCTCCCTTCTAGGCGGCCACCCCTGTTCCTATCCAGCACCTGCCTCTTCCCGCATCATAGCCCCACTTCGCTTTCATCACCGGCCAGCCGCTCTGGGGCTGTCCCCGTTCTCTGCTTCCCGTGGGCCTGACCAGGTGGGGCAGGTGGGACCAGTCAGGCATAACTCCTGTTCTGGAATGAGCTATCACCATCAGCAGTTTACAGTTGTGAGGTGTCATTCCCTCAGCCGGTTCTTCGGGGTGGGGGGTGCACACGTAGGGAGCGGCCGGAGGTTCCCTGGAAACTGGGCTGGCGGGGAGCTTTTGCTGGCCTGACAGTCCCTTCCTCCTGCTGTCAGTCCGCCTGGGGGCAGTCCCCAGATCTGGGGGCCAAGCCCATCTGCGGCTCCTCCCCAGTGGCTGTGGGATGGCTGCCAGCGATCTGTCCTCTGTGCTGGGGTGGAGGAGGGGGAGGGAGGCAGAGCCGCTGCGGGGGAAGCATGGGGAGATGCCCTGTCCTGGGTCTGGGAACCCTGGGCACGCTGTGGCTGTGTGCGCGCGTGGGAGGGAATGAGAGCGACAGGGAAATCCCAGATGCTGAGAGACTTTGCTAAAGCTGCCTTCTTTCAAGTATTTCCGTTTTGCCCCAAGACAAGTTTGTGCTGGAAAAAGACACGCTCACTGGGAGATGTTCCTGCTGGGACCTGCCTGCCGTGGGAAAGGAGGCTCGGGAGGCCCCCGCAGAAGGAAGGGAACGGTGGGGGAGAGGCTGAGCCCACCCCTGCCTAGGCCTTCCACCCCTCCACCATCTCAGACTAATGCCCGTTGGGTGGAATTTAAACACCTCACCTGGAGAGACAGAGCACCCCTCTTGTTTGGGGATCCCCACTCTTCCAGGCAGGGTTTTTTTTTTCTCGGGTGAAATCCCAATTCCTCATGTTGGCCAGATGGCTGTCACCTGTCCAGAAGGTGCTTCCCCGCCCTGCTGGGCGCTGCTTTGCGCCTGGCACTGTGGTCAGCTGCTGGGGCCCAGCTGGGGGTCTTCCAGCAGACATGGCCATGCTGTTCCCTGATCTGTTCACAGGGCCGCTTCTGAGGCCGTTTCCCCCAGTCCAAGCCCTGGTGGAGAGAAGCGGTGACGTGTGCACCTGGGGCCACCAAGGGGACTGGGCTGAGGAAGGGGTCCTGGCCAGACAAGGGCTGTCCGGGCAGGGACAGAGGGCACCCGAGGGAGGGGGAGGTGGGGCCCGGAAGGGCCTCGTGGGGAGAAGAGTGACCTCGGTGAGGAGAGGGACAAGGAAATGGGAGATGTTCTGGGGGGACAGACACAGAAACAAGGAACTCCATTCTGGGTATTTCTACTGTCCCCCAGGCCCCTTTGGGCTGCTCCTCTCCTGTCTTCACAGGAGTGCTCTGGAAGAGGCCAGGATTTGGATCCCCGAGGCCCAGTGGGATGCAGCGAAACTCAGACATCATGCAGATCCTCTGTGTCTGTACCCAGCACCCCGCACGGGCCTGGCCCTGAGTGCGGGTGCTTAGGCGAATGGAATGTGAACCACCCGGCCACCACCAGGAGGCACTTTTGTTTCATCTGCCTGAGTCAGCTCCTAGTGGAAAGGGAGGAAGAATGTGGGGGCTGCTGCCCAGCACTGAGGGGGACCACCCCGCCCGGTGGAAGGTCTGGAGGGGGATGGTCCAGCCCTCCGAGCTCACTTCCAGGGCAGCGCTTGGGTCCCCCCACCGCTGGGGCGAGTTTTGCCTAGTGATCTGTTCAGACCGCCACCTCTCTCCCTGGGCCTGCGTCCTCTGGATGGGAAGTGCCAAAGGGATGGTGGCCTTGCGGGAGCCCACCTAACAGTGGGGTGTTTCCTGGGCCTCAGGCAGCCATCTGTGGGCTAGAGGTGGGCAGTCCATGGAATCTTTGTGCTGACTCCAGGCCAGAGCGTCCCTGTAGTTTTCAGAGCTTTGTATAGTCATCAGCAAGGAGCTGAGCAGGCTCTAGGGTCAGGTTCAGGGTGACAAGGTTGCAGTGGGAACGGACGCTGGGGGGCCTTGCTCTTGTGTGCCCGCCCCTTTCCCCAGTGCGGATGTCCGGCTCTCCTGATGCTCACTGGCTCGGGCACAGTGCTCTTTGGCTCACAGTCGCTGGTCCCTTGGCCCAGAACTGCCACCGGGCTTCCTTCCCCTGAGTCCTGCTGCACATCAGGGTCCAGTTTGCCTGCCCTCCTCCTGGGGACCTTCCAGAAGCCCGGGACTGGGTGGGACCCTCAGTTATGTCCGTCTCCACAGCAATCCTCACATGCGTAATCTCCCATTCCAGGTCTGTATGCCCTGCTAGGTTGTAAGCCCTGGGAGGCATGGACTGGGGCCAGGGCCTCATTTAAAAAACCAAACAGGGGTGCCTGGGTGGCTCAGTTGGTTAAGCCTTCGACTTTGGCTCAGGTCATTATCTTATGGTTCATGGGTTTGAGCCCTGCATCGGGCTCTATGCTGACTGCCAGCTCAGAGCCTGGAGCCTGTTTCAGATTCTGTATCTCCCTCTCTCTCTGGCTAGCCCCTGCTCACGCTGTCTCTCTCTGTCTCTCTCTCTCTCAGAAATAAATAAAACATTAAAAAAATCAAACAGCTGGATTGAGATATAATTCACATACCACGTAATCTACTCATTTACGAATATACAGCTGATGGTTTTAGTATATGCTCAGACACATGACACCATCACCATTGTCAAATTTGGAACATTTTCACCACCTCAAAAGGAAACCTTTAGCCAACACCCCCCACCCCAGCTTCTCTTCCCTCCAGCCTTAAGCAACTACTAGTTGGCTTTCTGTCTCTGTAGATTTCCCTATTCTGGACTTTCATAGGAATGGAATAATAGAGAATATGCAGTCTTTGTGTCTGGCTTCTTTAACTTATTACGATGTTTTCAAGGATCGTCCGAGTGGTAGCACGCATCAGTACTTCATGCCTTTTCATGACCGAATAATATTCCATTGTGTGGATACACTGCATATTGATGATCTATTTGTCCACTGGTGGACATCGGGGTTGTTTCCACCTTCTGCCTGTTGTGAATAACGCTTCTATGAGTGTTCACACACAAGGTTTTGTGTAGACGTGTGTTTTCATTTCTCTTCGGTTTATACCTAGGAGTGGAATTGCTGGGTCCGACGGTGGGTCTGTGTTTGCCATTTTGAAGGACCACCAGACTGTTTCCCAAAGTGGCTGCACCATTTTACAGGCCCTGCGGCGGGCTTGAGGAACCGTGTCTACTCTGTCTGCTGAGTAAGTCAATCCTGACTGGAGCTGTCTTGTTCATCACGGTGTCACCACCAGCCCCGGGTGGCCTGACCCATAGCGGGTGCTTGAGAAGAGTCTATTGAAGGAATGAAAAAGTGAATGGACAGGTTCTTTTGAATATGCTGCCCTAAGCTTCCGCCCAGACTCTGTCCCTACAACCTTCTCTGTGAGTGTCTCCCTGACCCCCTTTCCGGGCATGATCATTAGTTGCCTTTTCTTGTTGCTCCCATACTGTCTGCCTCTCATTATCTATGACTCCTCTGTGAGGTCCAGAGTCCCTTCTGGGTTAAGAGAGTGTCTTAGTCACCACTGTATCACCAGCTTCTAATGCAGGGGTTGGCACAGAATAGATGCTCTGAGTGGGGCTGTGGGGGAAGGAGAGCTGCACCCTAACACTCAGGAGAGGGGATTGTGGTGGGGCCATTGTTATAGGTGGTCAGTGAGGCAGCAGGAAGGGTTTGGGGACCCCACAGAAGGTGGACATGCTACCACCAGGCCTAAGCTCCAGGTCTTGGGGTTCCCTAAGAGGGAGAGGGGACTAGAGGGTCCTCCCCGCTGGCTGGGCTCCTGCCCATCTGCACTCCTTTCCCAGGCTTACACTTGATCTGCACCGAGACTGGTCCAGGATGGGGAGGCAGAGCCCAGGGCTTGGAAGCTGCTGAGTATAGATATGATAGGGGGCCCACTGGCATTCTCCAGGACACGTGCAGGGGACCATGTGGTAAGAAAGCCTACGTGCATAAGGCCATGGCTTTCAACAAGGTAAGTGACTTGCAATCTATTTGTGTGTGATATGCAGGTTTTAAATGCGATTTGTGTGGATACACATTTATTCCACAAGCTACTTGCAAATTATTCATATGGAGGTAGCTATTCTGCTTGTATAATAGCCTTCGTTTCCACTTGCGAGCCTCCCAGCACCCAGCCCCAAAAGGCTGCTCATTGGTTCCCCTTGAGCCTTCTTGTGCCCCACAGGGCAAGGTGAATAATCCCGATTCCTGTAGCGTGTCAACAGTCAGTTTATTGGGAACAGACAAGCCCAGAGGCTCACGGCAGAGGTGGTTCCCTAAGTGGGCGAAGCTTCTGCCTGATGCGACACTAGGGGCCTCTGGGAAAATGGGGTCAGAGCAACACCTCCTTCTGTGCAGTCTGTCCCTGAGCCAAAGCCTCCAAGTTGCTGGGCGGCCCCATACCACTGTAGCCGGGAAAACATGTTTATAACAGACCCAAAACAAGAGGACCTAAAAGGAGAAAGGCCAGCACCGGGGGTGGGATGGGAAGGGTGGGGAAGGGCTATATACAGAAGGTAGAGGAGGGGCTTGATTCAATTGAGCAAACAAATGGTGTCCACTCTTGACTGTCTCCGTCTAGTAAGTATTCCATGTTCCTTTGCCTTTGCTCTAGGTATTTTCCTGGCCATCGGCTGCCGATGTGGTTCAGGAAAAAAATGTATTTTCATAGTGTGAGTTTAGCATACCCAGACAGGTAAATCTACTGCCCTAAAGATCCCTTCTTGATTCTGTGTACTAAAGAGGACCGTGAACAGGTCTGGAGTGACCCTGAAATGCTGGCACTTGGCTTTGGACTTCATAATTCTGGGGTGCCTCTTTTGGATAATTGCAATAGTGCATGTGTTAAAAGAAGTTCTCTTTTCTTAAGCGCGTGAGAGCCGGAGGTAAGGGAGGTGGGGAACTTCCAGGGGCAGGGAGTGGGAGACTGGCTTCCTACCCAGTCTCTTCCAGGAGGGAAGGAATCTTCCAGGAGATAATCCACAAAGCAGAACTTTGATGTGTCCACCCCCAAGGTCTAGCTCAGGGCCTGCACATAGCCAAGTGGAAGGTGACTCTTAAAGATACCCGAGGGGCGGCTCCCAGCGTGGAAACCTGAGGGAAACCTGCGGTCAATACAGAATGGGGTTTGGGAATATCCTTGTTTTCAGCCCTGGTTGGGGACAACATCCGGGGTCGGGGTTAGCACCCTGGGCTTGCAGCCTCTGGGGCAATGCTAACACTTGTGGCGGGAGGAGCCTCACGCAGCCCCCAGCTTCATGCCAGAACTCCGCCCGCTCACAAAGCCCAGTAGCCCCTGGGGCTCGCAGGGGATGTAGAGTTCACCGGTGCCCACGACGCTGCAGCCCCCGCTGCTCTTGACACCGGTGCCCAGCATGGGTGTGCTGACCACACACGGCTCGTAGAGGACCGCGCCTTTGGAGCTGCTCACGGCTGTGGGAACAGAGAGGGATGCTCAGGGTCCTGCCCTGTGTAGCTCGAAGGGCGCTGTCCTGAAACATCTCAGCCAGGCCATGCCCCCACCTGCTGCCACTCACCGACAAGGACACCCCCATGCCAGTCACCAGCTTCCCACCTAGCCACAAACAGTGCTGAGAAGCTCTCCCTCTGCCTCTCTTTGTTTCCCAAAGCCTCTGCCTCTACTTCATGCTCGCAGTTTCTACTTGTCTGAGCCTGCTTCAAAACTGTTTCCTCCAAAGGGGCGTCCCCTTGTCACCATAGTTCCTGGCAGCGTCTGGGACCCAAAGCACTCAGGCCTTGCTGCCTATCAGCAACTAATTCTGACTCCCAAAGACTTGGATAGTCCTGAAGTAGAGCCTCTCTGTCTGCCCAGGAGCTCCTGGCAGACAGAGCTCTTCCTTGGGGTGGGGGAGGCACGCTGAAGTCTGGGCAGGGGTGACGTGGTCTGTCTTTGTTGGGTTGGTCAGCCCCCACACCCCAGAGCCCCAGGGGAGTGCTCATCTACTCACAGATATTCACGGGCCCAATGCCTTCACACAGCCTGCAGTGGAAAGAAGGCACAAGGTCACTGCATCACAGAGAACAAGGTCAATGAATGTGGGGCACCTCTTTTCTGTCCCCCCCTCCCTACCCCGTGGACTATGTTAAGGAGAAGGGCCTGTGGATTATGTGCTGTCTTGGAAGTTCCCTGACTAGCAGGAGGCAATCGCAGCCCCAGAGACCAGAGGGCCAGGGAATATGCCCTTGGTACTTGGCCTTGACTAACCTGTGCTCCTCGCCCTCCAGCAGCCGCCTGTAGGTGGCGATCTCGATGTCCAGGCCCAGCTTGGAGTTCATCACCTCCTGGTACTCCTTGAGCAGGCAGGCCATGTCCTGCTTGGCCTTCTGCAGGGCCTCCTCCAGCCCTGCCAACTTGCACTTGGCATCACTGAGGGCCGCCTCACCCTGCTGCTCTGCCTGGGTCACTGCGGCCTCCAGCTTGCAGCGCTGGGGGAGGGGGCACAGAAAGGCATTACTGGGGGCCCTTGGGGCCTGAGGCTGACTCTCAGAAGAACAGGGAGGACGTGGCCATTGTGAGATATAAAAAAATATGTCTATTGGTCTCTGCCCCAGTTCCTGGTGCAGAACTCTTAAATCCTCGTGATTTCCCAAGTGATAAGAGCATTAGGAGCATCTTCTGTTCTAATACTTGGTCTTTGACCTTAGGTTCTGACACAGAGTTCCCGAATCCTTTGGAATTCCTGGATGGTAGCCATGTCTTTTGTTCTAGTAAGGTGACTCTGGGTGGGTCCTGGATGGCTCCTGGGTAGGGGGCTGGTCACCAGAAAGACCAAACCATGATTAGAAGCTTGGAATTTCCAGCCCCACCACCCCCTTCACTGGAGAGAGGAGAGGGGATGGAAATGCAGTTAATAATAGATCATGCCTATGAGAGGAAGCTTCCATAAAAGTCCCTAAAGCATGGGATTCACACAGCTTCCGGGTTGGTGTAAACAGGGAGGTACGGAGACCATCATGTGCCCAGAGAGGGGGACAGAAGCTCTGGATCCTTCCTGCCTCCCTCCCTTGCCTTGTGCATCTCTTCCCATGGATGTTCATCTCTATTCTTTATCATATCCTTTTATAACAAATGGCTAAACAGTAAGTAAGCTGTTCTTCTCTAGCAAATTAATGGAACCTGAAGAGGGGGTCATGGGAACCTCCAATTTACTGCCGATGGGTCAGAAGCACAGGGGACAACCTGGACCTGCGATCGGCATCTGAAGCAAGGCAGTCGTGAGGGACTGAGCTCTTGCCCTGTGGGATCTGACCCTCTCTCCAGGTGGATAGTGTCAGAGCCGAATGGAGCTGGAAGACACCAGCTGGGGTGGCTGAATTGGCTGTGTGAGCAGCTTTGTGCGTGTGGGAGTAATGTGACAGTAAAAGGGACACACAGGAGGAGGAGTGAGGTCTCCTTCACAGTCACGGTGACATGCCAGGTTCACAGCCGCTGTGTGTTTTGTCCTAGGATTGTGACAGTTGGTTCCTCCAGAGAGTTGGGACCAGTTCTGTCCATAACAGCTCAAGAAGACCTGAGCGATTTCTTAGGGGCTAATCAATTTGAAGTGCCTGGCTGGTCTTTACCAGCCTAGGAGAATGGAGTGGGTCTATGTTTATGGACTCCTGGGAGTCATGAATTTTAAGATCTTTGGACTGAAGGCTTTGTGTAGGAAGGGGCCATGGTGAGCATCTTTTCTAAGCCCCCGTCCAGTGAAGCACCCTTGCTATTTCATCTGTGACCAAAGGTTGCCTAGCCTCTGCCGGGACCTTGCTATTTCCCAAGGTTGCTCCTGCTATCAGTCAGCTTTCGTGGAAAGGGCTTGTTTCCTCTTAAGCGAAGGGAGCACAAATTCATTGCCTCTTTGAGGTTTTCCCAGGGAGAGAGGACCCACCTCCCCACCCCCGACCAGCCGGCAGGGCAGCCTGTAATGAGAGCCTCAGAACAAGGTCTTTCCGGCCTCACCTGGGCTTTCACATTCTCAGTTTCTTGCTGAAGCCGCTGGATCAGCTTGTTCATTTCCAGGATCTCATTCTTGCGGTTGCGGAGATTGTCACAGTGGGTCCCCGCTGTCAGCCGCAGCTCCTCATACTGCGGGGACAGGGAGATCAGAACCCCGCAGCCCCCTCATCCCCCACTTGTCCTGAGTCTTTCCAGGACTTTCGTAGCTCAGGGCTCTCTGGTTTCTTATGCTTGTTCTGCTGCCCATCCCTTTTCCATTTCTGGTCAATTTTGGGGTTCTTTTCTGGGCTTCGTCTTATTTCCTTCCCCAGCCCTGAACCTTTGGCCTTATTAAATGCTTCTCCAAGCTCTCCTTTTCTCTGTTTAGCTATTCTGTGGCTCCTCTTTTTTCCCCCAGCCCAGAGCCCAAAGGTCTCCTGATGGCTCTTTCCCTATTAGATCTCCCTCTGGACCTTAGAAGAGATTTCTGGGCTAAGCCTGGGATGTTGAAGGCATCTGGGAGTGAGGACAGACCACCAGGGTGAGTGCCTTTGTCTCTTCTCTTTCAAAACAATTGAAAGCAAACTGCAGTGTTACTTCCTATTTTGCCTTAACATTTTTTTTTAAACCTTTGCAATTCTGAGTTCAGTTTCTGAATAATGTTTTCCAGACTAGGCTATAGATTAAAAGATTAGCCAGCTTCAGATTTGCACATAATGGATAAGAGCACTTTGCATAGAGAAGGCAAAACAAGCGATAAGCACGTATCACTCTCTTTTGGCTCTTTTGTTGTTGGGCTGCGGTGACAAAGCATGCAGCTGCCTAATCAATATCTACTGTCCTCTTCCTCCAACAGAACTCTGATCTTGTTTGGGGTGGAGGTGAGCCCAGATGAGTGAATATTTCTTGGCCTTTTCGTAATGAGATTTATGGGTAATACTTCCAGGAAAGCTGTTTAAAGTGGGAGATGACTCATTCGGCATGTTTCTTTTGCCCTGCATTCTTTTTCTGCCTTGGAATGAACATGTGAGGTTAGCTATATGGCAGCCTTCTTGGGACATGAGGCAACCGTGAGGATTAAAGCAATGTTGAGGATGGCAGAATAGAAAGCTGGAAGGAGCCTGTGTCCCTGATGGCAACATAGAACCCCCATGTCACCTGTGGATGATCTATTTCTGTAACCTCTTTGAGGACAGGGATGGTGTGACTCTTAGCATCCTCCCTGTGCCACACTCCTCAGTAATGCCGTCCTTCCCTGGCCCCCCTATTTCAAAGCTCATTCCTGCACCATTGCGTACACTTCATGCTGACTTATTTTGTTATAGCACACGTCACCATCTAATGTACATCCATTGTACTTACTCATCTCATTTCTTGCCTGCACCCCACCCCCACCCCACCCCTGTCTCTGGGAGGAATGTGACATGAAGGCAGGGTTAGCTGTCTATTCTGTTCTCTGCAGGAATCCAGCATCTAAAACAGTGCGTGGCGATACACAGTTATTGGGTGAATAAATGAGTGAATGAATGCATGGTGCCTTTCTCAGACAGGCCAGGTGAGACAGACATGAAAATATTTGTGAAATCAAACTGCCCTCAGGGCATCTCCTTCCCTCCTAGCAAGCCCCTAATTCCCTAAGTCTGGGGCCGCCTTAATGATGGCTTCTGCCCTGCCATTAGTGCGCACTGCACCATTAGCCTCCTCGAGCCTTGAAGCCCACGGTCCCTCTTTGCAGTCATTGCCAACTAGTGTTTCTTGAATGCTGCTTAGAGGAACACTGCAGTGGGTCCGTGGGTGGGTAACGCTGGGGTGTGCTGGCACCCTGATGACAGGCCTGGGCTGTCTGCGGGGTTCCCTCCCACACGCTCTGCAGGGCGCTGGCCTGGGGCCTGGCAGGAACAACAGAAACTAGGTTTATGGGGTTCTGTCTGCCCTCATTATCTCCTCACTCACTTCCTGGGGGAGAGGGGGTCCGGGGTCCCCCATCCCCAGCCCCACCCTGCCCGGGCCTCACCCGGCTCTGGTACCAGGCCTCGGCCTCAGCTTTGCTACGGCTGGCGATGTCGTCATACTGGGCCTTGATCTCGGCCACGATGCCATCCACATCCAGCTCCCGGCTGTTGTCCATCTTCACAATGACGGAGGTCTCCGAGATCTGGGACTGCAGCAGGAAGATCTCCTAGGGTGGGGGCCCAAGGTGGGAGTGTGTGAGCGCTTTGAGGATAAAGTGGGGGAAGGGAAGGGGGGAAGCAGCTCTGGTCTTCCCAGAGCAGACTTGCTCAGCACTTTGCGTGGCTGTCCGGAGCCTTCTATCACCAACCTGTTCCTCGTCTCGCTTCTAGTTACAGAGACCCAAGGGCCAAGGTCTGGACCCTCTGACTTCTGGGAGTCTCACTGCCTGACAAACCAGCTGTCTTCTTGATTTCTCCCCATTGTACTTTGGAGTCAGCTTGCCCAGAGTCCCCGCTGGAGCTCTCCCACTCTGTCCTGCCCACGGAACCGCCCCCTGACCAAGCACCTGCGGGCAGTGGGGCTGCAGGTACCTCCTCATACAGGCCTTTTAGGAAGTCGATCTCCTGGAGCAGAGCCTCCAAGTTGGTCTCCAGGTCAGACTTCATCAGGAAGGCTGTGTCCACATCCTGTGGCCAGAGCAGTGACAGCCATAACCTGGGGCTGGGGGAACATGCGAAGGCCATCCCCTCCGCCAACTGGGGCCACCTCTCAGGCAAGCCGGTGGCAGTGTGCGATCCACGTGTAGACCCACGTGGGAGTGAAAAGGTGACAGAGCTAAGGATGGGGGGAGGGGCCCCAGGGAGAGGGGCCCCAGTCCCAGGACCCCACGCTTGGGCCTGGCACCCTGATGGTGAAGGATCTGAGGGAGTGGGTTTTGAAGGCACCCTGAATGCAGTTTCTCAAAGCCCACTGTGCAAGGCATGGACCATAAAATATCCAGGCATCTGTCTGAAAAACTCGCTATTGTTTTCATCTTTTGTGGTTAGAGGCAGAGTTCTTGTCTGGCTTTTGATTTGGCATTCACCATATCTCCAGCTTCTCGGGTGGGTCTAGACACAACCCTTAACCAGGTTGGGCCCCCATGAGTTGGGAGGTGGAGGCCAGGTCAATCACTGCCCATCTGCAAGAAGTAGGGGGGCGGGAGACTGGCCTTCCTCTTTCCTGGGGTCAGTGGGGATGGCCCCTGGGGTTGAGGGGCGAGAGACCCTATGGGGGGGATGGGCTGCAGACACATTTGGGCATAGTCAGGGTCTGAGTGTGGCAAGGCCGGCTGGGCCAGCTCCAGGGCCTTCTCTCTTCTCCTGTCACCTTCCCTTACCTTCTTCAAGGCGACAAACTCGTTCTCAGCAGAGGGTCTCAGGGAGAGCTCCTCTTCATACCTGGTGGACGTGCAGGAAGAAATGTTTTAGCCTATCTTGGGGTGTTTGGAAGCCACCTTGGAGTCCAGCCTGAGGGAGGGGGCCTTTGAGACAAATCTGCCTCTCACTGGCTTAATGTCCTAAGGAGCCACCAGATCCAGCCGCTGTCACTGGACCCCTCTGGCTCCTCCAGCCACTCAGGAAGGATAGTTGTCATCAGTCTCTTGTTAGCCACTTTGCATGTTTACCTCCCTCCCTGCTCCCCAGCAGCTTGTTCCTATGATCAATCATCTTTTGGGAAGTCCTTCATAAGGCTACCTGCATTCGATCTTGCTGCTGAGGAAGCCCACTTTGTCCCAGAGTTGTTTCTTCTGGGAAGGTGGTGAAGAGTCTGCTGCTGGTTTAGCTTTCCTCTCCGAGTCATTCTGACAGTTGGCTGCAGTCACCGAAATCGCAGCAGACCCAGAGCCCCTCCCCTCCAAGTGAGTTCAGAGCCTGACCTCTACCTGCAGCTCATTTGCAGAGGTAGCAGTGACCCACTTAACCAGAGCCTGACCATCTAGGCTCCCAGGATGCTCCTCGCCCACTCACTGCCCCCCTGGGCAATGGAATCGAGGTCAGGGGATTCAGTCTGGCTAGAATGACTCAGTCTGATGAGTGACATTGATCCATTAAAAGCTTCACGTTGCTTCCTGACGCCCATCCTTCCTTTCTGCAGGAGAGTCGGCCTCAGCATGGCCACTGGAATTGAAGCCTGATGTCTGGGCGTGAGCCCCAGCTCAGTCAGGTGCTAGTCAAGGGACTTGGGGAAAGGGACTTGGTCCGTCTGTGCCTCACACTCATCATGTACAGCCCGAGAACACCGGTCCAGCCTCACAGCGCTGCTGTGAGTTAGCACCATTTAACTCCGCCTTCTACCCCTCTCCACCTTCCCAATCCAAAGTCCTCATCCTGAGATGCAAACTATGTCTCCTGACCACCTGTGTCTTCCCCACCGAGAGAGGCACTGCTCCTGCTGAGAGGGCTGGTCTTGCCATGTCCCACCTGTCACGGTCTGCTTGAGTTGTCCTTTCCCACGTGGCACACTCTGGCCCTCCCTGTAACCTGCACCTGTCCCTTCCCCTTTCCTACAATCTACTTTGGACTCCCATTTCTGGAAGACCCAACTGGAATGAAACTTCATGAAGGCCCTAAGCAAATGGCACCTCCTCCGGGAAGCCCTCCCTGGGCCCCATCTGCTCTCTCACTGTCTGGGTATTCCTCTCCCTTTCTGCCCTGTACCCCGTTGTCACTGTGGGTGTGCGTGAGTGGGGGTCTGTGCCAGACCGGGCTCTTGTGAGGGAAGGAGCCAGCTCAGCACAGTGTCAGGCACCAAGTAGGCGTATGACTGATACCTGCAGCACAAGTGTCCCCTGTGAGGCTCTGTTCCACTGACCCCCCATCCCTTAGAAACCAGTGCTATGAGCATATTTTCACTACTTCTTGTCTATGGAAATGTGTTTCTCTCAAACCTCCCCTACCAACATGTGGTCCCATGGGACCCTAGACTTGGAGAGACCCGCCTAGGACCCATGGGGCAATTTATCTGGGCCTCAAGCCTCTTGTAGGCACCAGACCTAGTAGCCTGCAAACTCTTAATTAACACCTGCTTCTCAGCTACCTTCTCCTGTGAGTCAGGCCTTCAGGGAGGGCGAGTCTAGCAGGTCTACATAAGCTTAACCACAGGAATTGGGGACATGGAGCCCTGATGGGGAGGAGGGCCGGTGGCTTCCAGCTGTGAACAGGAAGTCTGGGAGCTGAGCATCAGGGAGCGAGAGAAAATGTGGGCTACGTTAGCTTGGATGTGGTCTGAAGAGATGCCGGGAGGGGCTTATCAGGAGGAAGGGACAGCGGGAGCAAAAGCTTGGAGGGAAGAGGGTTTGGGGGCCTGTTCAGGGAATAAGAAGTAGCTCTGGATCTGAATGGGGGTTGATGGAAGATAGGGCAGAACGGGAGGCGTCGCAGAGCCCTGGAATGTGGGAAACGCCCGGAGAAAGAGCTTGTTTCTCCTAGAAATGAGGAGGGCCTAACTGAGGGTAGGTGATGGGAAGGGTGGTGAAGACAAATACACAATTTCAGAGCTTCTGCCGTGCCTGGATGCTCTGCCTGTCTTCCCACTGCACCGTTCCTCCACCCAATCAACTAGATGGGGAAACTGAGGCCCAGGTTGTTTATATAGCTTGCTCCAGGTCTCCTGTCAGGGTGAATGCGGGCCATACTCACTTTTTCTTGTAGCTTTCCAGTGCGTCCTGCAGGCTGCTGAGCTCCGACTCCAGCCTGGCCCGGTCCCCCGCCACGAAGTCCAACTGCTTCCGCAGGGTGCAGATGTAGTTCTCGAAGATGGGCTCTATGTTGCTCTGGCAGCATCTCTGCTGCTGCATGAAGTTCCACTTGGTCTCCAGCAGCTTGTTCTTCTGCTCCAGGAATCGCACCTGTGGCCAAGAACAGGATGTCACTGGAGAGCAGGGAGCCTGGGGACCACGGCCGGGAGAGAGGAAGCACCAATGGGATCAGCGTGTGCTCTTACTCCCAACACACTGCCGCCAATGTGCCGACATTTTCAGGTGAGGAACTCTGTGTAGACAGGCACCTGAGTATATGTCTCCATCTCTCCCCTGCTTCGGGGAGCCTAGGGGACCTCCTCCTTTCACCCAGGGGCTGCATATTGTCATGGGAGGGTTACAGTGCCAAGAGGCCTGGGACAGGTCCACCTTCCAGCCCTGCCTGCCAACCCCCCACTAGCCTTGTCACCTTGGCCAAGACATCTGGCCCTAAGCTTCTCACTTGGTGTTGTATATGGGAAGCACTTCAGAAATTGTCATACTGTCAGCTGGTGACATTATGCTTAGGAGTTCAGGCTTTCTTTGATCACAGCCCAGGGGCACTCAGGGGAGGTCAGATTAAAGGCTTCATTCTAGACCTCTAAGCTCTTTTCCTCTGCTGCACCCTGCATGACTGTGTCCAAAAATGACCCCTGTTATGGCAATGGGGAGAGCCACTGGCCCAGCTTCTCCCTTTCGGTGGCTTGGAAACCAAGATTAGGAGGTGCTGAGTGAGCTAATCACGGTCACCCCATTAGGCAGAGGGAACATGGCATCCCATCCTCAAAGGAAATCTGCAGAGGAAGAAATGTTGCCGTACTTCTGGTCACCGGCCGCATGGAAGGCGGTGTGATGTTGCTGAAGCTCAGAGCCCACAACTTAATGAGCTTTAAAGATAAAGCTGTAAGTGTAACAGTTCCCATGCGCTAAAAGAAGTTTCTTTTTGGAGCACTTTTATGGGTGCTGCCTACCACCTTTGATTCTCCACCATCACGACCGCCTCCCCTACTGGGCAGCAAGGGCCTTGAGACCGGGAAGTGAGGTTTGCACGGGGCCTCCGGGCGACAGGTGGGAGTAAAACCAACCCGAGGCCCCGGCCTCCTGACCGCTGACACAGGATCCTTTGCCCTACACATTGGGGTGAGCAGAAATGCTGGCTCAGACCCTGGCATGTGTTCTCATCCCGAGAGCCTCCCTGGGGTATGTGGATGGGTACAGAGGCGGCTGCATGAACTTCCACTTGGTCAGTTCAGTGCCTTTCAAAGGGAGCACCCCACCTTTCCATGTAGCCTTTTAGAGCCGTGGCTTTGGGGATAAAAGATATAAGGGTTTGGTGATAGCCAGCTCCCTGTGTTCCCAGCTCTGGCTTCTCCATCTTCTCACACTGGGCCTTTGCGGGTGGCAAATCTGGGGTTCACAGTGCCCCTCCCTGCCTCCAGGCCCAAGGGTCTCGCACCAGCTCAGGCAGTCCAAAGGCAGATCTATTGTTTTTTGTTTTTTAAATTTTATGTTTATTTTTGAGAGAGAGACAGATAGACAGACAGGCAGACAGTGCAAGCAGGGGAAGGGCAGAAAGAGAGGGAGACACAGAATCCACAGCAGGCTCTAGGCTTTGAGCTGTCAGCACAGAGCCTGACATGGGGCTCGAACCCACAAACTGGGAGATCATGACCTGAGCCAAAGTCGGAGGCTCAACCGACTGAGCCGCGCAGGTGTCCCAGAAGATGGCTCTATTGTTAAAGCCTCGTCTACCTCCTTGGTTTTTCTTTTCAGTATCTATCATTGCTTTGGACGTTCCTCTTGTAGTCTGACCTCAGGCAGCCTTGGTGATTTTACCAGATAATATTCAGAGAGAGAGAAAGACGATGTAGTAACAAAAAAGGAACGAGCAGGCAGAAATGTCTAGTGCTGAGCCTGATCTAAGCAGCTTTCAATGATTAGTGGTCATACAGTACAGGAGACCCAATCAGTCACCTGTGGCTTCTCCATTGCCAGTCTCTCCCTGCCTGCCTGGACTGGACACAAGGTGCTCTCTGCATTCCATGGCCCCAGAGTGTGGGGCCTCCCTATTACCTTGTTGATAAAGGATGCAAAGCGGCTGTTCAGGCACTTGATCTGCTCCTTCTCATCCCTCTTCACCCTCTGCACGGCCGGGTCGATCTCCAGCTCCAGAGGCACCAGCAGGCTCTCATTGATGGTGACGGGGGCGATGCAGGCCGAGGGCCCACAGGCGGCCCCTGCCCGGTACCCGAAGCCAGGCAGGCCACACCTGGAGGCGACCCGGGGCCTCCCGAAGCCCACGTTGCACAGGCTCCGGGAGCCCAGGCAGCCCAGGGCGCGGAGGCCGCCCCCACCCCCGGGCCGGCACGGCCCCTGGCTCACCGCATAGTGGGTGACCATCCGGGGGAGGATGGCTGAGCACGAGCTGAAGCTCCGGCTGCCACACCTGGAGCCCGGCTGGAAGGAGCGGCACGACATGGTGGGACAGAGGCAGAGAGATGGCCGGCGGGGAGAGCGGGAGGTGCGAGTTATCAGGTCAGCCCCCTTCCCACCCTTTTATTTGGTGAGGGATGGAGGGCTGGGCAGGGTCAAACCCCAAACCACCATTAACAGGTTTATAAGCTTGGGCTATTGGCAGCAGCTAAGCACTAAGGTGGATAATTAGGGTAGCAAAGAGCAAAGAGAGGGAGCCAATGGGCAGTGCCAATGTCCTCTTTCCTCGTTTATGGGGGTGATGAAAGGGACCAGCCAGCCAGACGTTGGGCATATTGGGTGGCCCAGCCTCAAGGAAAGGGAGAGTGGGACTTTATGCCATTTCATGGTGTGTTTGGGGGATGAATTATACCCTCCAGTTGCCCCAGGACTAGAGACCAAATTAATGATGCTTGGGGATGCTCTATTTCCCTAAGGCGGCCTTTCTGCTTTTCTGCTGATGTGCCAGACCCAAGTGCCCTCTGCGGGCTCCTAGGGGGTCCTAGAGGCTCCCTGGGAGGGAGGATTTGGGGTGAGAGAAGCCTCCACAAGCAGGCTCAGGCCAGGCAGGCACTGATTCTGACTCAGTGCCTCTAGGGCTTCTGACATTGACTCTTGTTTTTGGGCCTGTTGAGTTCAAAAAAGCCTGCAGGGGGCTCAAGAGGAGATGCTTTGTGCTTGAGGACAAGAGAGGTAGGGATGCTCTCCCCAAGATTCTTTGGGCCCTCAAAGATGCATTGTGGTCCACCATCAGATTGACACTACTGTGTCACGATTCTTTTGCCTTTTCTCCTCACCTTGTCCCTGCCTTGCTGAGATAAACAGAGCCTGCTCTGGCCCGAGGACATTTCTGGGGACAGTCGTTGCCCTCAGGAATTGTTCAGGTAGATGCGGGATATAGGCTTTCTCCCCAGCACCCAGGTCACAGCTCTTTGGAGATGCTTGAAATGCCCTCACCCCCAATTCTCTTCCCTCCCCCTCTCCATTAGCGCCATCAGTGAGACCTCTGCTGTGGCTGACTGTCTTTTCCTTCCACACTGGCTGTTCTCCAGGTCAAAATCAAGCCACTAATAATAATAGCAGCTTACTGGGTGCTTACTGTGTGCTGGGATCACCATGAGCCCTCCATCCACGATCTCATTTAATTGTATGATGGCTTCATGATGCAGTTTCTGCTTTACAGATGAAGAAAGTAAGAGGCTGGGTGATTAAAGTGCTTAATTAAAGTACCCCAAACCACACAGCTTATCTGTGGTAGGCTGGGTTTTGATCCTATTCTTTCTGACATCACTGTGCTCTGCTGCTCTGGTAGGGAGAAGCCTGATTAAGAATGGGGGTTGGGGGGGAGTCTCCTGGGGCTCCTGAGCAGCTCAGTTGGTTAAGTTTCCCACTCTCGATTCCGGCTCAAGTCGTGATCTCACAGTTTGTGAGTTCAAGCCTCTCATGGGGCTCTGTGCTGACAGCATGGAGCCTGCTTGGGATCCTCTCTCTCCCTCTCTCTGTGTCTTTCCCCAACGTGTGCTCTCCCTCTCACAATAAATAAATAAATAAATAAACGTTTAAAAAAAGAATGGAGGTCTCCTGCCAGTATGCTTATGTCTTCTCTGTCCCACCTGTACATCAGGAGACGGGAACTCCACAGTTTTGGTCTAACGGTGACATTTCACACTGTTCCCTTTTTCATAGTCTTAACTTTGGGTCCTGGAGTGCTGGGGAGGGAAACTGGGGCTTGGGGAGGTCAGGGATGTAACAAGGGTCCGTGGGCAATGGCGGGAGGCAGAGGTGGGGTGGGGTGGGTCTTGTTGCATGATGAAGAAGGGGATTCCCATTCCACCCTGCGGTTGAGAGTCACAGAGGCGGGCCCAGGGGATAGTGTTAGAGGTGCTGGAGACATCAAGAAGCCAGACTGGAGGGCATCACCCCTCCACCCTCATGGAGCACGGTGCCATGATGTGTTGGGTTCCCGGGAGCCCAGGACCAGAGCTTGGGAGCAGAGAGTAGGATGCTTTCCGGGATTAGTTGTGGGTGGAAGGCACCTGCTCCAGGATAACACCAGGTCCAAGGCTGCCCACTGAATGTGAGACAGGACACAGACTCCACCAAGACCTAGAGAGCTCGGTGACACTTTATTGAAGCGATTTCAGGAAATAGCAGGCATGGGGAGCAGGCATTTCAGAAGGGTTTGAGACGATCAGAGTGGGGCGACTTTTCTTCTGACTTTTTCTCTCCTGTCTTCATGTCCGTAGCTGGCAACCAGTCCCTGCCTGCCTTTGGAATGCATTTTGGTCTTGAATACCATGGCAGGTGTTTGGATGGCTCACCGCTCCTCAAGTAGGGAAAGATCTCTGTGTCTACATGGCTCCCCTCTTCCACCACTCCCCTACCTCCGCTTCCTTCACAGGCCCAGCAAGCATCCTCTGAGAGAGAGGAAAGACACAGGGGGAGGGCAGCCCCTCTCTCGTCTCTGCCCTCTTAGGCCTTTCCTGTGGGGCAAGGGGTTTGGTGGACTGCCTTAAAAGTTGTGGTTGTAGCCAGAACTGGGGACAGGCAAATCCACACTGGAGATGTTTCAGAGACAGGGAGATAGAAAAAGAAAGGTCAGGAGAAAGGGGGCGAGAGATCTGTTGCCAAAGGGATGAATGGGAGAGGGAGAAAAGAAAGAAAGGAGCAGAGAGGAGGGGTGGGGAGAGGAGTCACACAGGCTGGGGGAGGAGGAGTAGAACAAGGAAAGAGGGTGGGTGAGAAGTTGGAAAGAGAAAAAGAAGAAGGACAGAGAACTTTCCAGAAAAGAGACATGGCTACCACAGAGGAAGGAGAAAGACTCCTGAGCCCGGAGGATTATTCCGCAGGGGAATTCTCCAAGGGCAGTTCTAACACAGGCTAATTGGGCTCCCTTACCTGGGGTATCTTCTGCCTAGCTGCCTTCCCATGGCCTGGTGTGAGCCTGCCTCCCTCCCACTCAGCAGCAGGGCAGTTCTGTGTGGGGCGGTAATTCTAATATTGGCTTCATTGAGGCCAATTTGGAAGGCATTTGGCTCTGAACGATCAGGGAACATAGTCCCGGGCCATGGAGAGCTTTGGGGTTCTTGATAAAACTATTCTATCCTAGCACGAATGATTGAGTTGGTAATATTTTGTGTGGTGTTGATTTCTTATTCCAATATTCTGATGGTAGGAGTTCTCAGGGGAAGTGGCTGGGGGCTGGGAGGGGACAAGAAGGAGGTGAGGACACAATATGCCGGCCAGGTTGGCAACATTCCCTGGTGTGAGGGGGCCTGGAGGAGAGGGTTCTGTGTGCGGTGAGAGAGCACACACGTGTGGACTCTGGCCTAGATTACACTCAACTTCTTTGGGGGCACCAAGTTCAATCCTAAACTCACCCCTACCCCGTAAAGGAGTGTGGGTGCAGTAGATCCGGCTCTGTTGGGGAGAGGAAGACCCTATTTCACCCTTGCTCTGGAAGCCACTGACAAGCAAAGTCCCAGCCCAGGTCTTGGCACAGAGCGATTGAGTCAGCATTAGTTGGATTGGATGCCTGGGGACCCTGGATGGATCTAGGATGAGGGGCAAGGGGGGGATACCTCTGTGGGGACCAGTCTGGGGACAGAGGGATGGACAAGGTGACCTTAGAACTCACAGGCCACTCCCCTCGCCTCTGGGTGTTGATAGTGTGCATGGGGTATCAGCAAAGCGGCAGGCCTTAGGGCTGGGCATCAGGGGCCTTGACGGGGCAGCCGAGGTGCGCAGGGCTCTTTAGCTCCGGTAACTCTTCTTGGTGGACGACGTCTTGGAGATGATGCGCACACTGGAGCTGCTGCCGCTCATGCTGCGGCCACTGGTGGAGCTGAAGCTGCTGCCCCCGCCATAGCCTAGGCTGCTGCTGTAGCCGCCTCCGGCCACACAGAGGCCACCGCCGCCCGCACTGTAGCCTGTGCCCCCGGTGGAGGAGACCACGGCTGTGGAGAGAAGGCACAGGGCATGCTGGTGGTCTCCTCTGGGTCCCCAAGGCCCCCCTCCCTGGCTCTCAGCCCAGGTGGGCTCCCTCCTGGGGGTGGGGATGGGCAGGGACTCGCCATCCAGTCACACGCTGCCCCACAGTGAGCATTCCAATTGCAGGACAGCGCAATTTTCAAAGCACCTTCACAGCTGTGAGCACTTTGATCTCACCATTACGACCACTGCCTCCGCTTCACAGAGGAAAAATGGAGGCTCAAAGACATCAAGCAGCCTGCCCAGGGTCACATCTGCTGTGCTCCTTCTTGCTCTCCACAGGCCTCCCCTATCGCATGGAGCATGAATACCCCATCCCGGGCAGGATCCGGGCTCCCTACTGGAACAGGCCCAAAGGCATGTTCATCTAGATGAACTTCTCCCAGTTGGAATCACCTATGCCACATCACCAAAGGCAATGGGTCATAGTAACTGCTCAAATACATTCGGTGATGGGGAGCCCACTACCTAGGGATGCGGCTCCTCACCGCCCGTCAAACATTTGAAGATGCCTCTTTGACCCCCCCTCTGCATGTCCATTTCTTTGGGTGAAGCATACCCATCCTTTTTATCAGCTGGGTTTAAGCTTTCTCCATCCTGGGTTTCTGGCCTCCCTCGTGCAGTCCAAGCCACATGGAGGCCAAGGAGACTCTACTACTCATGCCCAGGACTCAGTGCTGCCTGAAAGTCCCCTCATCCTGCTCGGCTATTCTGTGAGATGATTCTTCCTGCTCTCCCCTCTGTGAGCCGAGGCAGTCACTGGAGTCAGTCACTGCTCTACTTGTTCAATTAATTTGCTTCAATTCTAGGTATGCTTCTTTCCATTTAACCAGTTGAGTAGCTTTTTGTTAGTTGAGTGAGTTTGAATTCCTGCCAGAACTAGCTAACCCATCACTCTATGAGTTGTCTGTCCTGTCCTATAGCTCAGGTCCTCTGAGGCCAGGGTGGAGTCCTTCCTGCAGACATGTGACCCCACTGGGACTGACCATGGGGGTGAGGTATCACCACAAGTCTCTCTTGACCCCCTCAGCAAGGAAAGGCCAAAGAAGAGAAGGGTCTTCACAGAGCCCTTAGGAGGGTCTTAATGACATTCCCTGCCCGCATCTATCACCAAATCCCTGGGAGCGATGCTACTGCTTCTGTTTTGACTCCTGCTTTTCTATTACCCCAAGACATTTACTCACAGATGTTCACAGGTCCGACACCTTCCCCAGTGAGTCTGTTGCAGGTGGGAAGAGAAAGAGACATTTAATTTGCTGAGAAGTTGAAGGGCTCTTTGTATTAATAGCTATCAGCACAGAGTGCTTACTGGGTGCCCAGGCCCTGTGCTTAGCAAGCCTTTTGTTCATCTAGCTAATATGACTCTGTGAGGGGAATCTAGAAGACAGATCAAGTAAAGGTACATAAAGAAATGGGGAAGGACATGTGTTCACTAGAGAGGGGCAGTCGGATTGTAGGTATCTCTGGGCAAACACAGAGCTCCTGAGGTTCATCTGCAGTGTGGCATCATTTGTCATGGGTCTGGGCAGGAACAGCCCTGCTTATGGCCTCCCAGGTAGTCATGGGCCACCTCTTTCTGACGCCTGTCACCCTGATCCTCGGCCATGCGTCCAATAGGAACTATGGGAGAGGCTGAGGCCGTAGGGCACATCTGGGGAGCAGCTGCATTTTAACCTCATTTCTGCCCTTGGAATTTCTGTCTGGGGCCTGACACTGTGGGGCTCTTGGTGTCTGGCATTTGGTGCCCTAGTGGCACCTGTTTGAGCCGTGGTGGTGGAGGGGCTCTCACCTGCACTCCTCGCCCTCCAGCAGCTTGCGGTAGGTGGCAATCTCGATGTCCAGGGCCAGCTTGACGTTCATGAGCTCCTGGTACTCACGCAGCTGCCGGGCCATCTCCTGCTTGGCCTTTTGAAGGGCGTCCTCCAGCTCAGCCAGCTTGTGCTTGGCGTCCTTGAGGGCCAGCTCCCCGCGCTGCTCAGCATCAGCGATTGCGTTCTGGAGTGTGGTACACTGCCAGGAGCACACAGGGGTTTGTGAGGTTGCCCACAGACAATGCAGTAAGATGTGCGTTTTAGGTTAAAAACATGGGAGGATTTCCTGAAATGGATTTCATGCAAAGGAGGTTGGAGCATCATCACCTGTAAAAATAATTGGGGCACCTGGGTGGCTCAGTCTGTTGAGCGTCTGACTTCGGCTCAGGTCATGATCTCGTGGTTTGTGAATTCGAGCCCCGCATCGGGCTCTGTGCTGACAGCTTAGAGCCTGGAGCCTGTTTTGGATCCTGATTCTCCCTAGCTCTCTGCCCCTCCTCCACTCATGCTCTGTCTCTCTCTCTTTCAAAAGTAAATAAACATTAACAATTAAAACAAAAAAAAAATAAAAATAAGAGTAAAATCTCTGTCCTCCTTGGAGACTTAACTATAATGGATAAAATGATCTTGGGGGGGTGGTCCTTTCCAATGCCACATGTCTCTGGATAGTTTTGCCCTATATGCTCCCAGAGGAAAAACCCTTTTCTACAGGAGAAAGAGGGTCCTGACATCCCTGGAGTGCCAGGAGACCGCACAGTTCCATTCCTGGACAGTGACACATCTGGGGAGGCTTCTCCATGCATGCGCTGAGTTGGGACCAGGCTCAGGTCTGCCAGTGGGCAGGTGCATGGATGAGCTGTTTGCTGAGAGCTCAGCCCTACCTGCTTCTTCACGTTATCGATCTCAGAGCGCAGCCTCTGCATCACGCGGTTCAGCTCAGAGATCTCCATCTTAGTGGTGCGGAGGTCGTCGCCATGGCGGCCAGCAGACCGCTGCAGCTCCTCATACTGGGGGCAGGAGAATCAAGAGGCAGGGGCCATCAGGCCAGAGGAGAGATGGCCGTGGCTTCCCAGGGCCCAACAGGCTTCCCACGTGCTGCTTGGTGGCACCCCCCTTTGCCCAGCCCATCTGCACTCTGCTCTTGGCTCTGCCCCTCACTCTCCATGTCCGCAGACTCCACCCCACAGCTGCCCCTTCCTGCCTGTGCCTGGTCTTTCACTGTTTGCCCTTCATATCAGGGGTCTTATCCTCAGAAGCTCAGCAGCATGCAGGCATGCCTGTCACTCTCTGATTTTTAAGCTCTTTTCATATTTGTGACCCCCACCCAACTCTAACCTGGAAGGTCTTATCGGGTGGCCCGTGTCCAGCCTTTGCTCTCCGTCCCTCAGCTGCTGACAGCTGAACCTCTCTTCTCTGGGTCCAGGAAGCTGAGTCTTGCTCTTGTTCCCACCTTCCCTCTCTCGCTCCTGCTGGCACTAATGGGTGGTACCATCCAGCTGTCCCCTGCTGTCCTCCACAGGGCATTGGAAGTATGTCCATCCTCCTCCCTGGCAGAGGACTCACCACCTCCTGCCTTTATCTGGCTGTTCTCCTAGATCCTGACAGTGCTACCCAAGGGGTGCTCCAAATAGAGGGTAAGTCCCAGGCTGAATGCATATCCCTTTGACCCCATCAGACTGAAATGCCTGAGAGGAAAAGGCTCTTACCTAATTCGACTTTGAAATCTCAGTTCTATAAGATTGTTTCATGGACTTGACCTTGACGCCTTACCTTGATCTGGTACCAGGACTCGGCCTCAGCCCGGCTGCGGTTGGCGATGTCTTCATATTGGGCCTTGACCTCAGAGATGATGCTGTCCAGGTCCAGCTTGCGGTTGTTGTCCATGGACAGGACCACAGAGGTTTCTGAGACCTGGGCCTGAAGCTGAGCCAGCTCCTGTAATGGGGCCCAAAAGGAAGAGCTGAAGCAGGGTGTGTGTGTTTGTTGGGAGACGATGGCCAGGGGAACAGACCCTGGCACCAAGGACCTCACTTGCACTGTTGGGGTGCAGCACCTTGTTCAGGCCCGAAGGGCTGGGATGGATATTAGGGAGGTCACTGAGTTTATACCAGAGCTTTATGGTCACCTCATCTGCACGCAAGGAGCAGCCGCACTGTAACTCTAGCCAGCACTCTCCAGAAGTCACTCCCACTATCAAGGGAGCGCACCTTGCTGTGACCTGTCAGTGCCAGGATGTCTCATGTTCTGAGAAAACACAGCCTTTCACTGAGTCAGAAGGAGCCAGAAACTCTAATGCATCTCAATCCTATTTCCCAACTTGGCTCCTCCCTGCTCCTCAGGGATGGGAAAGTGGAGATCAGCTTGAGACAGCAGAAAGGGCACCGGGACGAAACATTCGAGTGTTGGGTCTGCCAAGCAGGTTAGATGGCTTCTCTGAGTCTCTGAGGGGCTCGTCCTAGATTGCTTCATATGCTTTCTCTGAGGATTAAATCAAGTCATGTCCACATAAGATGGCTTTTGAAGAGGTAAACCACAATCAATTTGTTAATGATCACTTTCCGGAATCATTTAAGGTGGTGGTTCCCAAAATGGGATCCTCAGACCAGCAGCAGCAGCAGCAGCATCTAGGAACTTGTTCAAAGTCCAACATTTTGGGTCCTACCCTTGACTTACTGAGTCAGAACCGGTGTTTTAACAAGATATCTAGAAGATTCTGACATACTTTGAAACCTGCAAATCATTGGTCCAAAGCACAAATCTAAGTGAAGATATTCTTTTCCTTTGTTTATTAATCATTGGTTCATCTACTTCCTGCTTCAAGAAATTATTATTTCATTGTTGTTTCACAATCTGTTTTTCCCAAGTAGTTTTCCTGGTAGTTGACCTAGCTCAGGGATGGTGGTGGGGGTGGGGTTTTCTCAGCCCACATGCTTGCTGCTGTCAGCACTGAAGTGAGTTAACAGAGAAAAATGATGTGTCTTTGCCCTACGTGGACAGCGGGGTGGTCATTGAACCTGTCCAAAGACATGGGTCCCATGCTCTTGCTCCCAGAACATGACCAACTTCTGTTGGTCACCAAACATATGCAATGCACAGGCTTATCACCTGTCCTTACCAGGCATACTTGGAGGCACACAATGCACCCTGCTCCCCTGCCTTGACATTGCTGACCCCTTCTCTACCACTCTACCTCACTCACTCTCCTCCAGCCACCATGGCCTCCTCCTGGCATTCCTGGATCCTCAGTTCTTCGGTTTCTCTTCAAATATCACCCACCTCCTACCTGCTCTGGTTCCTTGTTGTTTCTTTTCATTGCCCCTACTATGCTTTAAATGGTATAGTTTTCGATCCTTTCTGTGCTGCCTGTCTCCCCTACTGTAATAGAAGCTCCAAGAATGTAGGTGCTTTGTTGTGTCTGCTCAGCACTGCCCCTATAGCCTCTAGAACAGTATCTGGCATACAGCAGTGCATGACAGTATGTGTCTTCGGGAGAACAAGGCAGTTGTGCTGTGTGCTTCTAGAAGCACCCCGGGGCTCACTAATTGCCACCTGGTTTGTGAAATTGCATCATCTTGCAGCCTCTCTAGGAAGAGTAGCTGATACATTTGAGCTGGACTGGGTGAGCCAGGTTGCTCAGATACGTCTATGGAAATCACACATAATTCAATGACAGGGAGTGCTGTCTGACCAACAGCATGTTTGGTCCAAATGGTCAAGGTTGAATTCTTATCTCACCTGACCCCCAAGCTGCCCTAGGGAACCTCATTTTGTTCTTTAGTAGGGAAGGCAACATCTGTTCCATAAATTCCAACCCAGGGATGGGGTGGAGAGCAGAGAGGAGATGAAGGAAGGAGTCGGCAGGCTCTGCGCCCAGCCCAGGACCCCAGACTCCAACACTTGTTGGGGGAGCACCTGGCACTGCTTACCGCATCATAGAAAGCTCTCAGGAAGTTAATTTCATCCATTAAGGCATCCACTTTGGCCTCCAGCTCCACCTTGTTCATGTAGGCAGCATCCACGTCCTGGGAACAGAACATGCTGTCACTCTGAATCCCATCCTTCGTGGGTCGGCCAGCCTCTCTGACTGGGAGTTAGGTTGGAGAACTTCAGCTCCCAGGGATGAGGACACTTCTTTGTTCTAGGCTATGGGGTGGAACTTGCAGGAGGGCCCAGACTCTGTGGGGACCAGGGCTCTTGGAGAATGCCCACCTGTTCATCAGCTGGTGCCACACGAACAGATCTCTTATGTCACCTTCATGTGGTCAGGTCAACCTCATCCTGGGTCCTTGGGCCACTGCTGCCTCTAGGCTCTTCCAGCTTCTCCCCAGGCCCTCTGTGGACTCCCACCTTCCTCACACTCTCAGCTCCTTCCCGCACTTTACACATTGCTGCTCCATTCTCCCTGCTTTGGCTGCTTTCCCCGCCCTCTTCCTGCCCCCGCTGAGCAGGAAGGTCCATAACTCCAGGGAGCTGATCCCTGTCCTGCCCCTGTCCTCCTGAGCCTGACTTGATGTCCTGGACTAAGCCTAACTTAGCTCAGCACAGGGCCCATTTTGCTTGTTTCTCCCCACAGGGACTCCACATGGGGAGGAACCCGTGTCATGATTTACAGCTGGGACTTTGGAGTCACAGATCCTGACTCACTTCTGACGATCTGGGTAAACTTCAGCAACTTACTTAAACTGCCTGAGTCTGAGGTTTCTCACTTCTTTTAAAAAAAATTTTTTTATGTTTATTTAATTTTGAGAGAGACAGAGTGTGAATGAAGGGGAGGAGCAGAGAGAGACACGCACGCAGAATCCAAAGCAGGCTCCAGGCTCCGAGCTGTCAGCACAGAGCCCGACAAGGGGCTCAAACTCACAAACAGTGGTGATTTTGAACAGTGGTGATTATGACCTGAGCCAAAGTCAGGTGCTTAACCAACTGAACCACTCAGGTGCTGCTGAGTTTTCTCACTTCTAAAGTAAGACCTGCTTTGGGGCCCTTGGGTGGCTTAGTCGGTTAAGGGTCTGGCTCTTAATTTTGACTCAGATCATGATCTCACAGTTTCAGGGATTGATCCCCGTGTTTGGCTCTGCACTGACAGTATGGAGACTGTTTGAGATTTTCTCTCCCTTTCTCTCTACTCCTCCCCTACCCACATAAGCACATGTGCACACCACACACATTCTCCCCCTTTCTTTAAAAAAAAAAATAAACATAAAAAAATAAAATAAAACCTGCTTCAAAAATTAGTTGCACAAATTAAAACTTGTAAGGCCACTGGCTTCAGTGGCAACTGTCACTGCCAGAAGGGGCTACCTGGGCCTTGGCATCAGGAGGGAGTAGCCCTGTCCCCTTACCTTCTTGAGAACCACAAACTCATTCTCTGCCACTGTGCGCCTGTTGATTTCTTCTTCGTACCTACGGGAAGGATCAAGAAGTGGGTTGTCAAGGTGACCATTTTGTAATACATAAAAATATGCAATTAACATGTTGAATACTTGAAACTCATGTAATATTGTATGCCAATTTAAATAAATTTTTAAAAAGTGGATTGGTGTTAGGAGCAGGTTCCTGGGCTTGAGATCAAACAGTGGGGGCTGTAGGTGGGTAGAGAGTGTGGGTCTCCAGAACAGACACATAAAATGTGCTACTGGAGCATGGCTCCCCCGTCCCACATGTCCCCCCCACCCCTCTGCATCCCAAATCAATCACACAACAATCTCTGCCCAAACAAAACTCAAATCCAAAGCAGCAAGAAAGCAGAGCCACCCTTCATTCCTTCTGAGGTCACCTTTCTCACGGCTTTGCTCTTTACAGTGCTGACGTTCCACAGAGAGGCCAGCGTGCTTCCTTTTTCACCCCCTGGTCTTGCCCCAAGCCAAACAGAAGGGAGGAAGGGAGAGGATGGTCTGGCCCAAGGCGGACAGTCCCAGGCCTTGGCTGGCTCCTGCAGCCCGGGTCGCCCTCATGTTGCCTTGCTGCTCTGTTCTTAGCTGCATGGAACCACGGAGAGGAAGCAGTCTCCAGGCTAATAGAAGCCCTCCCACCCGTACCTGCCCAGGTTTCTCATTCTTCTGTTTGGCCCTAGACAGCAGCCCCACTCCCCGTCCCAGGGGACACTGGCCTCTGGGAAGGAAACTCCCCTTCTGCTCTAGGTGATCCATTTCCTCCCCAACCCTCCTGAGCATCAGTGAACCCCACCCTATTAGCACCTTGAGCACCTTGGGTTGGGGCTTTATCTCCTCCACCTACCAGCTGAGTAAACCGGGGCAGGTCATTTAACCTCTCAGAGGCTTTTTCTCATCTATGAATGGCTTGTCCCTAATTTTTTACAACCACCAAGTACTATCTCGCATGATGTACAAGTACAGAATCTCCCCGCTTTGATGTTGCCTCTGCTGTTCAGTAGGATCTGAGGAAAGCGCTTTCCTGCCATTGAATCTTCAATACTGTGCCTTTTCCCAAGTCCTCTGGGAAAACAGCTGTGGCTTTCCTTATTGCTTCCTCCTGCTGCCTTTTAATTAAGTCCGAACATGTTTTCTTGACCTAACTCCATAAACTGTTCTTGTCTTCTATATTTTCCAACTCACAGTCACTCTCCCTGCATGGAACTCTTAGATGCCTGCTACAGGAGCATGGCTGTCCATTAGCCAAGAGCATGCTCTTCAACTGACAACCCCCCCCCCCCCAGAGTTCTCCCCTGTGTCTCTCTTCTTCTCCACCTTTCTATCTCCTCCTCTGGGAAGCCTTCTTGGACTGAAACACTGTTACTCCATGTTTGCATACATATTATAAATTAACCATCTGCACTTGCTTCTCTTGCCTGTATCTAATCATCCATATAATAAAAATATTTAACACTTATCAACAACTTACTATGTGCCAGGCACTGGACACCCCACCAAGTATTTCACGTGCAAGTTTTGATATAATATTCTTAGCCCCTATGAGGTGGGCACTATTAACACCCCCTTCAACAGACAAAGAAACAGGGTTCAGAGAGTCTGAAGTCATTCAGTTTGTAAGTAGTGGAGCCAAGATTCTAAATCCACTGACTCTAGAGTCTATAGTGATGTCCAGTAGAACTTTCTGCGATGATACAGATGTGATATATCTGCATCCACTCTGGAGCCCGTTAGCCACATGGGCAACTGAACACTTGAAATGTGGCTAGTGTGACTGAGGAGCAAAAGTTCAAATTTTTTCAGAATTTTAATTAATTTATTAAAGTAGCCACATGTGGGTCAGTCTACCATTTCAACTCAACTTAGATCTGAACTCTCATTACATTATACAAACCATAACCAGAACTCCATCTCTTACTTTGTTTGGGCCAAGAACATCAGAAACAAATTAAAACAATAAAAATAAGGAGCTGCTTGAAACTATAGGCATGAGCATGCCATCATATTTAGTGGTGTGTGTGTGTGTGTTTTTGTGTGTGTGTGTGGTTCCGTGGAGGAGGCAACAGATATGTCTCCTTTTGCTTTGTTTCTGGCCTTGGCCAGGGTTGGGGTGGATGCCCAAACATTGTGCAAGTCAGCCATGGGACGGAGTGGAACAAATGTGATGGTGAGATTCTAGGGGTTTAATTCCCAACTCACAAGTTGTCAATTGTATCACGTTGGATAAAGCAGTTGCTATCTCAGAGCCTTACTTTCCTCGTCTCCAGAGTTTACTAGGTTGTTGTACAAATCCTGCTCTCTGTGACCATGTCAGTTACTACCACCTATAGCCCCACCCCTCCCCAGAACCTTAACATTCTTGACCATAGGGTCTCTGTGCTTTTGCTAATTCCACCTCACTGCCCTGAGTATGTGTCCATTTTCCCCGCTGGACAGGACACTTCTGGAGAGCAAAGACCTCCCAGGAGCCTCAGGGCAGGGAACTCCCAGGAGCTGGTAGAGGGTCTACTCACTTGTTCTTGAAGTCTTCCACCACATCCTGCATGTTCTTGAGCTCCGTCTCCAGCCGCACCCGTTCTCCACCCAGGCAGTCCAGCTGCCGCCTCAGGTTGCTGATGTAGGCTTCAAACATGGGCTCAATATTGGCCCTGGTGATTTTATGCTCCTGCAGGAGGCTCCATTTGGTCTCCAGGACCTTGTTCTGCTGCTCCAAGAACCGCACCTGCCCCAGCCAGAAAAGAGAAACTGTGAGGGCTGCCCTGTGCAGCCTCCCCAGAGGGCTCTGGGATACAGGACTGCCCCTCCCCCTAAAAAGTGAAGGGAAGCCCTGTAAGAACTTGGAGTCCAGGTGGCAGGTTCCTCCTCCTCATCCTGGAAGGAGCCTGAAATGTAGAGAGCCACCCAAATGTTGGTGGCCTGGGAGGCAGGTGGTGGCTTGGTTTGGAGATAGGAGAAGTAAGATTAGGACCAGAGGGGCTAGAATTCATACATACAGCAAGCCATGCTGATGTGTGGTAGCTGAAGGAAAGAACACTCCACCACCTTGTTCCTGGGTGGGATTTTGATTCCCTTTAAATGGGCAGGAGGTTCTTGGCAGAAAATGTAAAAATTCCATTTCCTTTCTTACGTGATTTCTCTAGATCTAGAATCTGAATTCAACTGCCCTTATGGTCCAAAAATGCTGAAAGGGGTCACTCTAACGTCACATTGAGGGGACCTAGGCAGATCCCAGACATATCACCAGCCAGTTGTGTGGCCTTGACAAGCCCCTTCTGTGCTCAGGTCCCTTGTGGTCTTGTGCTACTAATTTGGTTTTCTTAAGTTGCACTCATCTGCTCCTCTGTCTGGGAGGCAGCCCTGGGAATGTGCGAATACTTTCTCCCTAAACAAAGTCCTTCCATTGGGTGCAGCTCGAATGACACACAGCCTCAGAATGAAGGAACAGAAGAGCCTCCCAAACAGAGGAGATGGCAGCGTGCCTACAGAGATCCTCTAACAAACACCCTACTTCCCCTTCCTTCCTTTCTCCTCTGTTGTCAGAGGTCAGAGGGCAATCCTGACTTCAAGTCCCTCCCTATCACATCCCCTTTTCCCCAGATCCTCTCCAGATAAACCAAGCAAAGGAGGGCCCACATGTTCCCCTCCGAGCCACTTCCTGGAAATCTCACACTTGTTGGTGCAAACCCTAGGCCAAGTGGGGTGACATGGGTGATAAAACTCAAGAAACACTGTCTCAACAATCCCTTTGGTTAGATCTGGGACCATATGATGAAGCATTTCATAGCGTGTTAGACCTGCACAGTCACCTTGGAGTCCGTCTGTCCAACCCAACTGAGGCCCAAGAAGTTCAGGAACATTCTCTTAGCAGTAGAGACTGGGCTAGAAGAGTCTAGCACTCTTCTTTCCAGATCCTTGAACTGGTTCTTCCCAGACAAAAGCAACCAGCTTGGGTGTGAACTGGTGGTGGTGCAAAACAAAATAGTTTCTTTCCCTGGACTTGGGGAAATCCTTGAGTCCAGGCATCCAGCAAGGTGCACTCAGGGCTGACATCACAGCTTAGCTTTCACCAGAGGAAAGGTGGGAAAGCTGGCCCCTTGCCAGCCACTCAGCTTCCCAGACATACTCAAATCACCAGGGAGGCCACCACAGGAGGAACTGCCCCTACTAACTGCACATGATAAAGTGACTCAGCCTACTTCCATGAACCGAACTCATAACTTTTCTCTCCTTTGTCCCTTTCCCTTCCAAATGATCACGTTTTGCTATCTAATCTTAAACCAAGCATACATTCATTATCCATCAAAAGAGCAATGTCCTTGCAGCAGGTCAGACAGCTTTAGAGTATAGAGATGAACATTTTTCTGCTCCCACTTCAACAAGGTGGGAAATCACTCCCTCCTTCATCTGGCCGGCAGTCTCCCCAGCCCCCAGGATCACAGGTCCTGGGCAAGTCACAGTTGACCTCAGAAAAGCACAGAAAGCAGACATACCTTGGGCACTAGCAACTTTCCCAGTGGGGACCCCACTTGCCTCTCACCTTGTCAATGAAGGAGGCGAACTTATTGTTGAGGGTCTTGATCTGTTCCTTCTCCTCCTTTCTCACCCGTTGGAGAGAGGGATCTATCTCCAGGTGGAGGGGGGTCAGGAGGCTTTGGTTGACCGTGACCTCCTGGATGCCCCCAGAGCCGGGCATCATCCCGCCTCCAAATCCATACCCACCGAAGGCTCCCCCAACCCTGTAGCCCATGCCTCCGATACCCAGCCCATAGCTAGCACCCCCACCGCCGGCCCGGTTGGAGCGGTAGCTTCCACTGATGGAGATTCTCTTGCTACCCCCAAAGCTGTGGAGGCTCCTCGTCCCGAAGCCACCCCCAAAGCTGCCCCCAAAGCTCTTTCCACCCTGGGACACAGAGAAAGAGCTGAAGCTGGGCCGGCAGCCTGGGAGGAGGCTGGCCGAGGAAGCACTGAAGTTCCGAGTGCCTCCTGACTTGATGGTGACAGAAGATCGTTGGGTCATGGCGGGAGCTGGTGTCAGAGAGACAGAGGAGCAAAAGTATCAAAAGAATGAGGAGCCTTCCAAGTTTAGCTAGCCCAGGCTCTCCTTGACTTTTATGCCTTTCAAGAACTGGGCTTGGCCAAAGAACATCAAAGACCACTCTGTTGAGTTCATCTCAATGGCATGTCTGGTCACAGCCCATCTTCCTGCCCCCTAATCATCATGGGGAACACCCTACCCAGGGCAGGACCAGGCCTGGTCCAGGTCTGGCTTAGGACCAGGTCCTGAGCCCCCCACCCAACCAGATTCTCAGGCTCACGCTGTAGACACTCCCACTATTTTTCAGCTGCTCCTCTCTTTGGATTCTCAGGTCTTAGACTCTGAACCCAAGCGCTTGATTAAGCCCTTCCTGTCACTGGGAACAGAAAAGAAACCTCCTTTACTGAGGATTCCATTTGTGCCAGGCCATGTGGCCGGTCATTACAAGCATTATGTCACTTGATTTCTCATAATAACCTTGTGAGGGTGGATGACAAGAATAATAATTGCCAATGCTTATTGACCAGCTACTATAGGTGGCTGCTTTACATGTGTCTTCTCATTTAATCATCACACAGCACCAGGGGTAGCTGTCATTATTCTTGTTTTGCTCATGAAGCTATTGAGGCATAAAGTCATTGAGAAACTTGGCTGAGGTCAAGTGGCTCATGAGTGCCGAGCTCATGTTAGGGCGTGGTGGTCTGACAGCAGATCTGCTCCAGATCTTTGCATCTGACACTGGTGGGAGAGAGGTGGCTTATCTGAGGGTGGCAGACGCAGGATCTCTTGCCAAATTCCTGTCCCCTCTTTTCCTCTCATCTGTGGGGACCAGGGACATTTAACAATTGCTCTCAGTGTCATTTCTCTTCTTTCTGCCATCCCTCCAAGCCCTTCCTAATTCTCGCTCCTGGTTTTAGACTCATCTCCTCTTGTCTTGGCTCATGGCCTCTCCCCTCCTGCCACTTAGCTTCCTGCACAGCACCCTCGTTGACTGTGGTTCAGACTCCCCATTCCTTGCTCCTACCAGCCTTAGTGTGGTCCCTGGAGCCCACTTCCTCCAAGCCCACATGGGCCATCCCCACTCTGGGTGAAGCTGGGCTCAGGCCTTATGGGAGCGGCTCAGGAGACTAAACTCAGGAATGTGGGAGCTTCCTGGATGTCTCACTGCTGCCTGCAATTATGGGCCTAAATGGCTCCTCTGTATGGTGAAAGCACTGCCCCCAGGGCTGACTTTTAACTCCTCTCCTGGCCTGTTATTTCTCTGCTCAGGTCTGCAAGTTTGAAGCTGTCAGGGAACAATCAGCCCCTTTGCTGGAGGAGAGCTGGGCCACCCACCCTACGTCAGTGTCCTCAGAAAACAGTCTGGTTTTGGGAGGGATGGTATTGCCCCGAATAACATACAGAGTGGGGAGGATGGACACAGCTTCTTCCCAGGCGCTTGGGCTTCTCAAAGAAGGCATCCCGGCAAGAGGTGGGATGTGGGCGGAAAGGCCAGGAAGGAGTCTAGCCAGTCAGTGCTCCCTCCATCCCACCCCAGCTCCCGAGTCCACCATGTTCAGTTCTGAGGGAAGTGGGGAAGGTCTGGTGTGCACTGGGTACTGCATCTCCATTCCAAACAGAGAGGGCTGGACACCAGACACATTCCACATGCATTTAATAGACACATTCCAAGGAGGGGATGTGTCTCACTCCTAGCAGGCAGCTCATAAGCACCATGAGACAGGTGGGGCTGACACCCCGGCATTGAGATGGCCTGGAAAACACTGACTCCCTAACCCTGCATCTGGGAGGAGGAAGGAAGAGCTGAAGTGGGGGAGGTGTCTGCAAGATAAGCTGAATACGAATCTTGAAGGAGGGTGGGCAGTGGCACACGGAGGAACAGGAACACGGTGGGGCCTGCCAGGAGGGCAGAGGCTGGCTTAAGTTGGGGAATGGGGTTTACCCAGGCTTCCTTCCCAGCATCACAGGCGGGGCTTGTGGAGGGGAGAAGAGGGAGAAGGACCCAGGTATCCTGTCTGCAAGTGCAGGCAGGCCAGGTCAGCAAGCAGGCAGGCTTCAGGGCAGGGGTGAGGGAGCAGGGTGGCTGCACTTAATGCTTGTAGCTCTTCCGGCTGGAAGATGTGGTGGAGACAAACTTGACACTGGAGCCACTGCCCCCGAGGCCCCGGCTGCTACTGGCACTGAAGCTGGAGCCACCCAGGCCTGTACCCAGGTTGTGCCCAGTGCTGGTGGTGAAGGAGTAGCTGCTGCCCCCACCGAGACCCAGGCTTCCACCTCCGGTGCTACTGCCGCCGCCATAGCCGCTGGAAACAGTGGAGGTGACCACAGCTGCCAGACAGAAGAGAGGAGACACTGTCAGAATCAAGGGCAGGAAAGAAGACACCTTGAGCGTCAGGGCTTGTGCCCTTAAGTCTGTGAGGGTAAGGGGGTGGGGATGGGGTTGTCTGGTCAGGTAGCTGTCTACCTCCTTCCAATTTCCCTGCTCACTTGGTGAGATCTCTGTCCTATGCTTGGCCTCATTTTCCCTGGGCTGTAATGCTAGGCAGATTCCTAGTCTGGAATGGCTTCCTGCCTCCCCTCTGCTACTGGTGCCTTACTTTTTCTTCCAGAACTTAATGGAGATTTTTCTCTTCCAGGCAGCTATTCTGGTTCACTTGCTTTCCCCTTTGATCCCATCACATTCCCCTGTCCCTCTGTCCCCATCTCTCTCTGTGGGCCTGGCTCTGATGTCTCCCTTCTTCCCAAGTGGAATGTACATGCCTCCCTTAGTGTCCTCAGTCCCCACACCCTGAATCCCAGAGTGGGGCTGGAGTCATGTTGATAGACCAAGAGACAGATGACCCACTGGCCAGCCATTTCTGCTCCCATTCTACCCCCAACCTGTCTTTCCCTAACTTTTATAACCACTCATCACCTTCAATGTTTAGTACCCTACTTGGGGCTCTTCAGAACAGAAACTGAAATAAAAATGGACTCTGTTATGGAATGAATTGTGTCCTCCAAAAAAATATGTTGAAGTCTTAATCCCCAACACCTGTGAATGCAATCTGATTTGGAAATGGGACCTGGATGGAATCAAGTTAAGAGAAAATCATCAGGGAGGGCCCTACCCCAATATGACTGGTGTCCTTATAAGAAGAAGAAAGGAGTCCAAGTGAAGGCAGACACATAGAGAAAGGGCCAGCTGATCACAGAAACAGCATCAGAATGATGCAGGGCAAGGAACACCAAGAGTTGACGGCCACCTCCGGAAGCTAGAAAGAGGTGAGGAAGGAGCCCCCTACAGGTGTCAGAGAGAGCAAGGCTTTGCTGATGCCTCAGTGTTGAGTTGCTAGACTACAGAGCCACGAGACACTACATTTCTGCTTTAAGTCACCCAGTTTGTGGTACTGTGTTGTGGCCCTAGATAACAAACAGAGACTTTCAGGTACTTTCAAGAGAAAGGAAACTTTAGAGTTTACACCATTCATCCCCAAAACTGGCTTTGAGGGTCTCTGGAGCCAGTAGACAAGGATATCAGTGAGGGAGGACCCCTGGATAGTGTAGATGGCTATGCCTTCTAGAATCATTGGTTAATATAATCGTTGCTTTGTGAATCCCACACCAATGAAAACCATATCCACTCATAAGCTTAAAAGTCATCTCTGTTGGCCTCACGATGCCTGCACTGAACTCCGTGAATGACTGCTCTTCACAGTGCTGGGCCGTTCCCGCTTGCCAACACCCCTCCTTATTCCTGAACATGAACAAGGGCACCCAAATGCCCTGTCTTATGTGCTCTCACTGCCTTGGAAAACCTTGATAACCTTCTATTGTTATGCTCTGCAGAGTATAACTGAGCAGTAGGGATTCTCCCCACCCTCTCCTGGGAAGGGGCTGCCATATGGCAAAGCCCTTGGGCCCAACGTGAAGGCTCCCTCTGAAGGCTGAGGGCAGACCAGGGTTTCATAAGTCCTGTCCACACTGAATGCTCATCTCTGACCTGCACTCCCAGCAAGAAAGGTGTGGAATCCTGGGAGGTGGCGGGTGGAAGCTGTGTGTCTTCTAAACCCATGCAAAGAGGTTAGACTAGGGACGTTAAAGACTCTTGCTTAAAAGAAAAAATTCCAGGGGTGCTGAGTGGCTCAGTCAGTTAAGTGGTTTCAGCTCAGGTCATTATCCCTTGGTTCAGGAGTTCAGCCCCAAACTGGGCTCTCTGATGTCAGTGGGGAGCCCACTTTGAATCCTCTGTCTTCCTCTCTCCTCTCCTCCCCACCTTGAGTGCTCTCACACACTCTCTCTTAAAAAATAAAAAAGACTACCAATATGGCTCTCATTTTAACAAATGTGACTCAGTTCGTGGAGTCCCCTCCAATGCCACATGCATGCCCTCCACCCTTCCACCCAATGCCACCTCCCCTGTCTCCAACCACATGCACACCAAATGACACAAGAAGATATCGTACTCACAGATGTTAACTGGAGAAACACCCTCTCCACTCAGCCTGATTGGGAGGAAGGGGGAGAAGGAAGGTTACTATTATCTCCAGCAGCTTATTGGCATTTGAGACAACATTTTTGCAATTAAGTGCATTAAAAAACCCTTTATTATTTTTATTGCACAAGTGATGGAGGTTGAACTTATTTAAATGCTAGTAGTATTAAAAATAATAATCTAATGAATGAAATAATGTGGAGTTTGAGGCTCCTAGGAGTAAAACCTGTAATCTCAGAGACACATTTTTTGGTTCAAACCAGGTAGACACCTGGAGAAAATTAAAGCTAATCATACAATAGTGTCAGTTGGAAAGGCAGGGCTTGTTAAGGAACAAGGAGATTTCTCTCTCAACAATGGACTGTTGTCATGCACTGGGCAGTGCTGAGGTGATTATAGGTGTGGAGAGGAGTCTGAGTCATAAACATAACAATAACAATAATCAGCCTATTATTGTAGCAAGTATAGTAATTTTGTTTTACATGCTAAGGACAGAACTGACATTCAT